CCCCCGCCATCTCTGCTCCCCCACCCATTTCCATGACTGGCCAAATGCCCTGCCCCATAGTGTCCCGGTCCCCAGTGGCCTGCCCCTACCCCTAAAGGCCCAGGAGCCCGGTACCACTCCTCCAGTACACTTCCCCTTGCTCGATAAAGCCCAGGAAGAGAGGCCTTGAGGCAGCACCTGCCTTTGGACAGCTGGCTTGCAGCCCTGGACCAAGCCCTCCCTCAACCCCGCCCCCAGCCCCAGCCCCCAGTTCGCTCCCAACTCTGTCCACACCCATGCCGCTGAAGGCCTTAGCTTCCCTTGAGCCGTTCACCCCCGGTAACCCGGTAACGTCCCTGCCCTCAATCCCTGTCTGTTTTCTCCCAAGTCTGCTATGCTCTTGCCTGTGAAGACCATAGCTTCCCTGAAGAAACTCAGATTTCCTGGTTCAACTCCATGCCCTCAGTTGTCTTGTACATCCTCCCTTTTCTGTGCCACTGTGGGCCCTTTTCTCGTGTTTCGTCCTCCAGACCCAGCAATCTGCCTTCTATTGTTCCCCCTTACCTTGTAAGCCTTCCTGTGATCTTTGACCCTGCCTGCATGCTCTTCCCAGTCCAGGTGTAGCCCTGTCCTAGCCTGGCTGACATGCCTGTCCTGAGTCCCCCTTCTATAATGGTGCGATGCCCTTGTTCCTCCCCTGGTGCCTTCTCCCCTGACTGACTCGTCCCCTCCCTGAATGGCCACTGTACCTTGACTGTGCCTCACAGGCTTGAGACTGATTTATTTCTTCATGCTATGACCTTTACCTGTGTTCTTTTTCTTTTGCCCCCCTTGATTTAATGGCTTGACTCCCTTTCTTGAATATTTTGGCCAAAGTAATGCTGTAGTTACGCCTGGTCTAGGTCCTGGCCCCCTTAGCCCAGTCCAGGTCTTTGTCCCTTTTTTACTCCTTGGTCCACTCCTATCCCTGTCCGCATTGTTTCCACCACCAGCACCCAGGACTTCCCTTAGCACAGTTTGCCCTTTGCCCTTACTACCTTTCCCAGGTACTATTCCTACTCTGCCCCTGCTTCCATGCTCACCAGAATGCAGGTCTTGCCCTGTGAAACGTGACACCTTCCAATCCAGATATCCGTGCTTCTAGTGCACCCCTGAGCCCTGTGCCCCACCCCAGCTGTCTGTTCCGTCCTGAAGCCCTTCCTGTCAGATTTTAGAGTCTGTGCCGCCCCTCGGCGGTCACCAGCCCACCTGTGCCCTTGGCCCCTGTCCCGCCCCCGCCCCTGCCCTGTTCCCTTCCATCTGTCCTCTGCCATCAGACCTGATGGAGCTGAATCACCCTGGCTCCCACTACTGTCGTTGCATTCCCTTCCCATGTTTGTCCATGTCCCCCCATCTGCCCTTTGTACCCCAGTCTTTGCCTACTTCTCCTATGGATGGACTTCTTAACCCTGGAATTTCTTTTGCCTCCCCCTGCCTTATGTGTCATTTCGTATTCTTGGGCATTGTTGTCCATTCTCATTAGCTGGCCACATCTTTCTTCCTTGATCCATTCCCCCATAGAACCTCCCATTAGCACTGCCCCCTCCTTGCTTTGCAGTCTGCCCTCTCCCTGAGGCCTGGTGCCTTTGCCAACTGATGAAGTGTGCCAGTCCTTGTGCACCTGGCTGCATGTGCTTTTTGTGCAAAAATCATCGTTTATCCCCACCTCTCCACCTTTCTTGGAGAATTCATTTCATCTAAGTACTTGTCTTTTCTTATTCTTCTGTGGTGTCAGACTAATGGCTCTCTTTTGTATTAGCATCTCATCCCCCAACTCGGGCCCCCAGAATCCTGCCCAAACTTCCCACCCTGTTACCTGCCATCGCCATACAGTATTTCCTCTCCTCACCTTCCTGCCTGGTGTTAACCACCTGTCCTCATCTTGAGCTGGCTCTAGCCTCTTGGCTTTAACCACCTGTCCTTACCTCTTAGTTTTAGTCACTTTCTGTCTGCACTACCCAGACTCGAACTTTGCTATCTCCCTGCAATTCCATTGTCCTGCTCCTGATCCATAGCTTAGGGACCCCTCCCTGCCTCTGCGTTCTCCATCACATCGCCCAGCCTCACTGTTCTTAGCTATCCTCAGTTGGTCTTGTGTTTAGCAAGCCTGTCCTGACACACTGTGCTTTATGTTTCTGCACATTTCCCTGGTCTTAAGTATGGAGCATGATTTGGAAGGTCTCAGTGTCCTGTTGGATGGAACCTCTTTACCAGATGATCTTGGCCTTAAATAACACTTTGTCTAAACTTTACTAATGTCCTTAAGTGAAGATTTCAGAGAGCTGACTGCCTGGAGTTTCTTGTAGTAGGGTGTGCCCGAAGCAGGCAATGTAAAATGTGCACTCTGTCCCAAAGCACTGTTGATCTTCTCGGACATGAAGGTTAACCTTGATGATGTTGGTGTGTGGGAGAGGGCCACACAAGTTTTCATCTACCTAGCCACTAAGGTAAGGCAGCTGATATCTTCCCACCTGATGGACGCATCCATCTGTTCATCTGCCTGGGTTCTACTTTTTTCTTTGTATTGAGTTTATTGGTACATTGTAGGTATACACAGTACAGTTAATTCATTGCTGGGATCTTGTACCTTTACATGACAGGTTGCCTGGGTTCTAAACAGGCTTCTCAGTCTTCCAACAGGACACAGCCAGGAATTTATTCATCATCTCAAATACTAAGGTGAGGCTTCTGATGGCTTCCCCTGGAGCAGAGCCCATGCACGTATTCATCTGCCCAAATCCTTAAGGAAACGGGCTTCTGTCTTCCTACTACAGGTTAGTGCATCTATTCATCGGCGTGGATGGTGAGGTGAAGCTGCTAATGTGTTCCTATAGCTCGGACACCGACATGTGTTTCCTAATGTCTTCCTGCAGCACAGAGCCACGCATGTGTGTGTTTGCCTGGGTACTAAGGTAACGCTTCTCTCTTCCCACAGGACAGGGCCATGCATCTGTTCGTGTGATGCGATACTATGGTAAGTCTGCTGCTGTCTTCTTCCTTCATGACAGAGCCATGCCAGCCTTCATCTACTTGGATACTAAGGTAAGTCCCCTGTCTTCCTATATAAATCGGCCAGGAATGTGTTCATCAGCTTGGATACCAAGGTAAAGATGCTGATGTCTTTCTACACAGCAGAGCCATGCATGTGTTCATCTGCACAGGTACTGAGTAAGTCTGCTTCTGTTTCCTACCACAGGGCAGTGCATCTATTCATCTGCCTGGATACTAAGGTAAGTCTGGTTCTGTCTTCTTCCAGCTCACAGCCATGCATCTGTTCATCTACTGAGACACTAATGTAGCTCTGCTTCTGTCTTCCTGCTGGGTAGATCCATGCATGTCTTCCTGGTCAGGTACTAAGGTAAGTGTGCTTCTGTCTTCCTCCTGGAAAGAGCCATGCACATGTTCATCTGCAGGGATAGTAAGGTCCACATCCTGATGTCTTCCCCCACCCCCACCCCCAACAGGGATAGAACTCAGGACCTTGTGCTTGCGAGGCAGGGAAAACAGCACTGAGCTTATTCCCTGGATGATGACATGTTCAAACCAGATAGGGTAATGCATCTGTTCATCTTCTTGGATACTAAGGTATTCCTGCTTCTGTCTTCATACAGGACAGGGCCATGCATCTATCTGTTCCTGTGTTAAGGTACTATGGTAAGTCTGCTTTGGTCTTCCTTTGGAGCCAGGAGCCTGCTCATCTACTGTGACAATAAGGTAACTCTGCTTCTGTCTACCTACAGGAGAGATCTGAACATCTCTTAATGTACGGGGATACTAAGGTAAGTCTGTGCATGTCTTCCTACAGGATGGGGCCAGGCATGTCTTCATCTGACTGGATACCAAGGTAAGGCTCCTTCCTGCCTTCCTATGGGACAGTGCCAGGAATCTTCATCAGCTGTGATACTAAGGTAAGGCTGCTGATGTCTTCCTTCATGACAGTCCCATGCATGCATCTGTTCACCTGCTGGGACCCTAAGGTAACTCTGCTCCTGTCTCCCTACAGGAGAGATCTATACATCTGTCCCCCCACCACCACCACCGGGATACTAAGGCAAATCTGTTCATGTCTTCATACAGGACTGGGACATGCATCATCTGTTCATCTGCTCAGACAGCATCATACTGGATACCAAGGTAAGTCTCCTGTCTTTCTATAGGACAGAGCCATGCATCTGTTCATCTAGCAGGACACTAAGGTAAACTCTGCTTCTGTCTTCCCCCTGGACAGACCAATGAATCTCTTCATCTCCTCAGATACTGAGGTAAGTCTCCTGTCTTCCTACAGGACACAGCCAAGAATCTATTCTTCAGCTCAGATACCACGTTAAAGCTGCTTATGTCTTCCTACAGGAAAGGGCCATGCATTTGCCCGTCTCCAGGGATACTAAGGTCAGGCTACTGATGTGTCCCCCTACCCAAGGAACTCTTGCCCTTGTGCTTGTGAGGCATGGAAAGTACCCCTGAGCTATCTCCCCACCTGCTCATATCTTCCTGTAAGATAGGACCATGCATCTGGTCATGCTCTTGGATACTAAGCAAGGTCTACTGATGTTTTCCTAAGTGACAGAACCTGGCATCTGTTCATCCACCTGGAATACTAGGGTAAGGCTCTTCATGTCTTCTTGTAGGACTGAACCATGCATCTGTTCATCTCATGGACACTAAGACAAGTTTCCTGACGTCTTCCTACAGCATAGAGCTATGCATCTATTAATCTGCCTCGGTGTACTGCTTTAATTCTTACGTCTTCCCACAGAACACGGCCATGTATCTGTTGTTCATCTCCTCATGTATTAAGGTTAGTCCACTGATGCCTTCCTGCAGGACAGAGCCATGATTCTGTTAATTTACCAGGAACTAAGGGAAGGTATCCTTGTATGTTACTGATATCCATGCATTTCTTCATCTGCTTGGGTACCATGAACATCTTCTGTCTACCTATAGGACACAGCCAGGAATCTATTCATCCACTAGGATACCAAGATAAGGTTGCTTTTGAGGTTGTTCATCTGCAGGGATACTAATGTAAGGCTGCGGATTCCCCACACCGTGAAACTCAGGACCTCGTGCTTGTGAGGAAGGCAAAGCGACACTGAGCTACCTCCCACCCGCTGATGTCTTCCTACAAGACAGGGCCATGTTTTCAGATGCTAAGGTAAGGCTCATTCTGTCTTCACAGAGGACATGGCCATCCATTTGTTCAACTCCTCATATACTCAGGTAAATCTGCTGATGCCTTCCTGCAGGACAGGGCCATGCTTTTGTTCATGTGCTGGGATACTAAGGTAAGTCTGCTTCTGCTTTCCTTCAGGACAGAGCTGTGCTTCTGTTCATTTGTTGGTAATTGTCCTTCTGTTTTCCTACAGGACAGAGCCAGACATCTATTCAACAGCTCAGATACTAAGGTAAGGCTGCTGATGTCTTCCTACAGGACAGGGCCATGCAACTTTTTATCTCATGGACACAAAGACAAGTCTCAACGTCTTCATACAGGAGAGAGCCATGTATCTGTTCATCTGCCTAGGTACTATGTCAACTCTTCTTCCCATAGGACAGGGCCATGCATGTGTTCATCTCGTATACTGTGGTAAATGTGCTAACGCCTTCCCACACAGTAGCTCATCTATTGCTTCATGTGCTTGGATACCAGGGTAAGTCTCCTGTCTTCCTACAGGACACAGCCCGGAATGTATTCATCAGCTCAGATACTAACTAAGGTAGGGATGCTGATGTCTTCCTACAGGACAGAGGCATGCATACGTTTTCCTGCACAGATTCTAAGGTAAGTTTGCTTCTATCTTCCTTCATGACAGAGCCGTGCTTCTGTTCATCTACCAGGACACTAAGATAGTCTGCTTCTGTCTTACCGCAGGACAGATCCATGCATGTCTTCATCTGCTTGGGTATCATGAAAGTCTCCTTCCATCTACCCACAGGACACAGCCAGAAATCTATTCATAAGTTCAGATACCAAGCAAGGTAAGGTTGCTTTTGTCTTCCTCCAGGAAAGGGCCATACATGTATCCATCTCCAAGGATACCTAGGTCAGGCCACTGAGGCCCTCATCCCTCATTCAACTCAAGGCCTTGTGCTTGTGAGGCAGGAAAAGCGCCCCTGAGCTACCTCCCACCTACTCATATCTTCCTACAAGACGGCCATGAACCTGGTTATCTCCGCGCATACGAAGGTAAGGCTTGTTCTGTCTTCATACAGGACAGGGCCATGCATCTGTTCCTGTGCTGGGATACTAAGGTAGGTCTACTGATGTTTTCCTAAGTGATAGAACCTTGCATCTGTTCATCCGCCTGGAATACTAGGGTAAGGCTCCTCGTGTCTTCCTGCAGGACTGAGCCATGCATCTGTTAATCTGCAAGGATACTAAGTAAAGTAAGTCTGCTAAAGTCCTTGTGTTGGACCCAGCTGCACCTGAACTTTCTTGGTGGCCATGAAGTGAGTGTTTTGTCTCTACCCTATCAGCAGGGCTTGGGGAAGTGCTAAAGTCCTGCCAGTTGAGTACTTGTAATGATTGTTGGTTGGAATTCAAAACTTTGGCCTTTTTGCTTTCTGCCATTTAGAAATACAAGTCCTGTTTCTGTGGACAGAGTACAAGTTGCCATTGTGAAATGGGAACACCGCCCTCAAAACACTCCTGTCCCTTTGAAGTGCTATGTCTCAGCTTCCGGAACCTAGCCTAGGTAACTAAATTGCAATTTTGCCTTATTCACCCATGAGTGACTAAAGGTCTGGCTATACCCACTTGGGCTTCCTCTAGTGGTTTGTAGCTTTAACTATACTACCTGGTATAACCCCACTGTTTTGACCCCCCTGGGTTTTTCAAGGAATCTTAAACTGTCTTCATGGTGTGGCTTGGCCCTACCTAACTTACCCAACCCTCCTTCCCCAGCTAGGCTTCCTCACCCCAAGGGTTACAACTGCTCTTACCCACTTTGTCCTTCTCTCTCTGACCAAGCTGGACTCACCCTTTTGGTTGTAACCACTTTCTGTTACCCAGCAGGCCTCTTGTTACCTATTTTGATTCTGTTGGCTTTGTTTTGGCCTTACTTAATCTGGTGATTTTTGTTGTGTTCATGTGTCTACCTTTGCTGGTGACTGAATTTAGGGCCACGCATATGCTAGGCGGACACTCTACTACTGTCCTGTACTCCCAGCCTCTTCTCCTGTGCTAAGCCCATAGCTTTACTGATCCATCCTCAACCTCTGGCTTTAATGAATGCTTGGCTTTATTCTCCCAACCTAAAAATTCATCACTGACCTTTCCTTGTAACATGGATATAGCCCTTTGCCTCACATCTGTGGTGTCCCCACCCTGGGCTTATCCTTTTGGCCTGAACCTCCTAAGCTCAATTTCTTAGTGTGACATAGCTGCCTTAGTAGTGGCCTTACTTAGGCCACATCACCTGACCTTTGCCCACTGTCTTCACCCAGCTGATCTCATGCTTTGGACTTAGGATATATCTGCCTTCACCCTCCTGGCTTTAGCACCTAGCCTTACACATCTGACTATCTTAGCAGCCTCCCCATCCTGCCTTGCCCTTGTCCTCCCGGCTGCTCCTCGACCTCCCCAGTTCTTGGCTTTGCTTCTAATCCTTAGCTTATCCCTGGCCTTCCTCCTGGGCCTCGGACCTAAATGTTACCCTCTGACTGTGTCCCAGTGTCCTCATCCACTGGGTGTAGTTTACCCCTGCTGAAATTCTTCACCTGTCCCCTTTCTTCCTGACCTTCCCCACCGGGCCTGTCTCCTGATCATCCCCTTCCTTGCACCTGGGTTACCCGAATGACCTTGGCGATGTGACGTTGGCTTGTCAGCCTTTCACTCCAGCTTTGAATTCTAGCCTTATCCCATCTTTAAGCTTTGGCCTTATGTGGTATTAATCAGTTTACTTTATTCACTTGACCCTACCATCCCGTCTTTATCATCCACCTGGTTGTATCTACTTACCCTTTCCCACTAGCTGCCTTCCCTTATGCACCTCCTGTCTACCAGATGGCTGCATTCAGCTGCGCATGACTTCCTGGCTGACACCTGGATACCAACAGGCGTTACACACCTGGACCTTTACACCTAACACAAGCGTTCCCTAGATTTCTTTGCCATTTAGCTCTGCGTGCCTAATGTCACCCAGTGAACACCACCTCCCAGCTCACCCACATGGCTGTGCCCAACCCCCTTTACCCTGGAGTCAACTCATTTGGCCTTGTGTCCTAGTGACCTAGGCCTTTCCCTCCTGGTGTTAACCATGTAGTAGGACTCAGGAGGCCTCTCCAAGCTTCATGGATTGGACCCTATTGCTGCTGCCTTTGGGGGAAATAAAGAGGAAGTGCAAGGCTGCAAAGTCATTGCTGTGCCCTCATAGTTGTGAGGAGATTTAGAAGCAAAATTACTCTAATACCTGGTATCCTTCCCCGACTGAAGCACACAATAAGAAACTCATGGCCAGCAAGGAATCTCTAGTTTGTCAGAAGGTATTACAGGATGGGAAGAAAGGCAGAACAGTGAGTGAGACCAAAGCTCACTTTACTGCAAAAGTATAATTAGCTGCCGGCATACGCATTTCTTATAGCTTTATCTTATAGATCGTATACATTTTGAAATAATGCATTGTATTCTTTTTTCAATTTCCCATCTCTAAGAAAGTAATCCGCTTCTTAATCTTATAGATGACTCCACAGAAGCTGTTTAATTTTGTGAAAGTATCCCATTTCCAAGGTAAAGCAAGCCCTTCTGTCGGACCCCTCTCCTGACACCCGTGCAGCGCCCTGCCCGGTGAGCAGCACAACCTGGGGCACGAAAGTGTCCTGGGCTTGTGTGCGTCTCATTCCCATGCCCTCCAGAGCACCTTTCCCCTCCCTGCTGCCCTGCCCTCTGTCTTGCAGATGAGCACCTTTGTATCTCACGTGCCCAAACTACAGCTCTCCAGCACCTCAGAAGGTATTTCACCCACCCAAACCTGGAGGTTCTGCTTATGTCGCTGCTGGTTAGTGTACATTCTTCAGCCCAACCTGCCATCCCCATGCTGCCTGAGATAGAACGGACCTCTAACACCTTTTTCAGCCCTTCTAACCCCACATTAACAAAACACTGCTGGCTATAAGCCTTTCCCCGACTCCCCTTTCCCCACACTGCAGTCCCCATGGGGCCTTTGTTTCAACTCAGGTAAGGGTATCCATCACTCCAAGTCTCTTGCATTCCTGTCTTAGACAGGGCCTGGGCTGAGGACTTGTCCCACAGCTTAACTACCTCAAGCCTTCTGCCACCTCTCTTGCCAGGTACAGGACCTCTACTTAGAAACCTCAGTATTCTGATGCCTGCAAGACCTATGCATCAGTGTCTCCTCCCAACGCAACCCCCCTTTTCCAAACTCCAAGGGGACTCAAGGTGTTGGGTGTAATCCTCCCTCACCACCTACAGAGAGACCTATCATGGAGACTTCAACCTTTCTAAGACCTACCAAATGTCACCAGGTGATCTTTTATTGATTCTTGCAGGAAGATTGCTGTTTTTCCAGGAGTCTGGCATTGTATGAGATGCCGCCAGAACCCTCAGAAGTCCACGAGTGAAACACTGAAAAACATTGGTTCTCACTGACGACAAGGTGGATGGCAGCCGTCCTGGGACCTTCATCGTCCTTGTCCATGTGCAGCCCCTTGATCAATTTCTTCCAAGCTCGACTCATGCAGCCACTAACTTCTTCACCACCAAGATACTGATGAACAAATATCCCTACCTCCCAGCCCCACCTTCCAACACAGCTCCTCCTTCTGACAATGATCCCAGTCAGCTGGAAGCAGCCACTTGAGAAAACTCACAATCCCATCCTTATGCCGGGAATGTGAGGCCTCTACCCACCAGACCTAACCACGCCATCCTTCATATCAGCAACCTACTTAGCCCTAGCCACAGCACCCAGTCCATCTTCCTGAAACCATCTTCCTACCTCCATCTCAATAAAAGCCCGCTCTCCTGTTCCTGGTGTACAATCACTGGACACAGCAAACTTTCACTTTACATTTTCTTGTGGCTGGTTATTTTGTTGCTATTGTACCAGGACTTTCCTGACCTATTAAAAATTTCACTACTTTTTGACCTTGTTTTGTCCAATTCTTTGTTGAGGAAAGGGAGAACCTAGAACGAATCTCTGGAATGAGTCCCTATACCCCAATGTCGGCAACACTAGGGAAGGAAACTTACATCCCCCGAGTAATATTTTTGATGGAGCCAGTGTTTCAGTTGGCAGTGAGAACCATTCAGTGAGATACAGGAGATAAAGAAGAAACTCCCTCAAACATCAACAGAAAACAATCTGACCAAGACGTTGTGGGTATTGCCCCTCTTAATGTGTATTACTCACTTTCTCATCACTGCGACCAAAATACCTAACACTCAAAACTGAAAGGGGGAGAGGTTTGAGTTCTTTTATCATTTAGGGGAATTAGTTTGTGACAGACTGGCCGAAGATGGAAATGGCAGTGGAGGAGGACAGATGCTCAACCAATGGCAGGCAGGAAGCAGAGAAGGAAGCAGGTCAGAGCATCATTACACACCCCTTTGGGCCATTACCCCAGTGACCCGTCTCTTCCCATCATGCCTCACCTCTATCACAGAGTTTGGAGGACATTTTCAAGCAAGTAACCACCAATCCAGGATACCCCACAGAGGACTGACTATACTATACCTTCATGTGCCCTCAGTGGTTAAATGCTGACAGTACCTGCAGATGGCGTCAGATCCCAAAGACTAGACCTTTTCCAGATGCCAGTTCAATGGACACATCTCTGGAAATTTATGTGAGGCGAAACCATACATTTGGTCAGGAAAACAAGTTGATTTTTAAGTGAGAGTAGAAGTGTGTTTTTCCTTTCCAGTAGCTTTCTTACAAGTTGGCTGTAAATTGGGGTTTGCGAACCTCCTCAGTATCAATCTGTGGCTTCAGTGAGTTTCCTGGAACAAGTCACGGAACTTAGAGAAATGCTTTATTTTTGTTCATAGGCAGAGAACCACTCAGGTGAAGGGAAATTCAGGGCTAGGTCCAGGAGCATCTGGAGCCTAAGAGATTTGTTCCTTTCAGTGTGGGAAGTGCCACCCTCTTAAAAATGTCTGTGTGTTCCTCAATCTCTCTTCAAACTCATTTCTTTGGCTTTCATGGAAGCTTTATTATGTACATGGGGATTATGTTGTAGGCCATTGGTGATAATTCAGCATTCAGTCCTCGGCCCGAGGATGGAGACGGTGCCGAAAGTCCTAACCCTCTAACTGCGTGGGTTCTTGCCAGGACCAAGACCCATCCTGAACCTGTGCAGAAGACCTTACCCACACTCAAGTGCTAGATTATAAGAGCTACATCCTAGGAAGGGAGAAAGAAGACAGCATATATTTTGCAGTATTACACTGAGTTGAGAGGAGAGATGGAATGGTCATTAGGCTAAAAGCTAGAAAATATATTTCATGTTCCTTAACATCTGTAAATCTAACAAAAATCTTCAACCAACCAGACATTGCTGCTTCCTGCCAGTAGACACCCTCTCTTAGAAGCAATACCACTTGTTGCAGACTGATTGTGCCCTAATTCGCCCCTGCTCCTGGTTATCCCCCCCCACCTTTCCTGTCCCCAGTGCTAGACCGATGTGGAAAATTTATGCTTCCTCAAATGGTTAATTATAAAAATACTCGGGTGCAGTCCGTCATATATTTTTCCAACTGCCTTCTAACCCAGCTGCTGGATGATGTGGGAAATTGTCCCAGAACACAGCATAATGACTGAAATTCAGACCTCTATCCATTTCTTTGGTGTTGGGGCACACAAAGTGACACCTCCAACCCTGACGTTTGTTGAGTGTGGAGTAAGGGAGCACCCTAGAGGTGTCTCTGAGCCTTTAGCCCAATGGCTATCCTCTCAGTCCTCACGCGCTCCGACAGTACAGGCAGGGCCTTGTGAAGTTCTCCTAACTGACCAAGATGCTGCTTTTTCAGAGAGACTGATACGTTTAGTGATAAAGACAATAACTCCAGAAAGATGAGACTCAGGGAACTCCCCAAATGCACTTCTCATCTATTCTCATGATTGCTCCCCAAGAACCTTTATCCACACGGGACAACTTTGTTCGAGATGATTCTTGCTTAAGCTCTCCCCCAGTTTGTCCTTGCCACTTTGCTGTCAAAACCCCTGCCACCTGCAGGCCCCTGCCGCCTTTCTATTCCTTTTTAGAACTCGGGAGCATATATAAGCTTCAACCATCGAGCCCTTCTTTGAGGCTTATTTTTTGCTTATGACTGCAATGCTGTCATCCCCCACCAGACACATTAGTAACTTATGTGCCCTGTTCTCGCATTGACCTGGTTATTCCCATTCATTTCAGTAAACTTTCAGGAACAGGACATTCCCGTTCAGAAGGGACATTTCCCTTCACCCACATGGGTTCCACTATGTTAACGTCCGTATGTAGCACTAATATTTAGATACAATACTGAAGCCTGGTGTGCATTAGGTGCTACCCATGTTTGGTGCCATTAAAACTAGGTACTATTTCACTGATAAGGGAACTGAACCACTGGAACTCAGAGCAGGTACCTGACTCAGCTGGTGTGGCTTCAAGACTTAGAAAGGAAAGGTCTGAGGTAGAAGGTGCTTTGGAACCACACCTTGAGTCTAGGTTTGCCCCATGTAGCCAAGTGGCAAATTGGCTGAACCTGTTTCCTGCCCTGTGAAATAGCAGCGATCCTCTGGGAAAATCAGAGGTGGTGTGTGCAAGACCAGGGATACTGCTAACCTCTCTGACTGCCCCTGGCTTTCTTTACACGCAGATGCACATAACCTTGTGACCTGGCAACTTATCTTTATTCAGCACTTGCCTGGGGAGTCTACATGCTCTGCAGCATCTCCCTGCACAAAACACACCGAGTGTGGGGTGCAGACATCCGTGAGTGCAGTATGATATGGAAGCAGGGAAAAGGACTCAGGAAGCAGCCTGTGGCTTGTTAGGGGAGCAGGCGGCAGACTCCAGATGGAAGAATGCAGGGCTAGCGTGCAGGGTCAGAGAGAGAGTGTGGAATGGGCAGGATTCAAGGTGATGATGTACATTAATCATGGGAAGATAGGGCCACCTGGGGATGGAGGGGCAGGGGCCAAGCCCACTGCAGCATGCAGGAGGCTCTGACTTTCAATGCTCAGGATCAGATTCTCTTGAGTGTAGCAGTTAGGCTGCTGCACCAGGGCTGTGGTGTTCAAAGCAGGACAGAGGCTAGATCGATGTGGGAGACAAAACTGTGAGACTTCATGCCTCTGTAACTGGATGTCATAAGAGAGCGAAGCTCAAGGGGGAGATTAGCACTGAACCCCATGGTGTCTGTTTACTAAACGGGGAGAGTTAAATTTTAATCAATCTCAAGTGAAATCTAAAATTCGCAGTCTCACTAGCATAGTACAAGTGCTCTAGGTGTGCACCGGTACCTGCTAGGGAACCAGGAGGAAAGGGATACACGGCTACTGGGGCTTACTGCTATAGACATTACCTCTTCCTCAGAGGCTCCAGGTCAGTGCATGTCTGGCTCACAAGGCACCCTGGAGACCAGGGAAAGTGTCTGTCCACTCCTATGCAAGGATGCCTTTCAACAAGAACAAAGCAGGGTGTCGTTCCTATGTAGAAGCCCCCTCAAGAGCCTCATATACTCATAGGTGGGGCTTTGGCAGGTGACTGGAGTAACAGGACTTATAGCTGACTTGATGTTGGAAGGTGGGGTCGGGTGGAAAGAGACGGGTCAGTGGGGCCTGGCCTGGGAGGGTTTTTCTTATTCCCTAGGACTCCCTTGATTCTCTGCTTCGAGTCCTCCATGTCATGAGGAGCTGTGTCCTTGTGCCATGCTGTCCTGCCTTGGAGCCAGAGGACTATGGACTGAAACCTCTACAAACTATGAGCCAACATAAACCTCTGTTCCTCAGAGTTGCACTGTCAAGTATCAGATCCTGGTGACCAGAAAGTGACTAAAACACAGGGACACAGCTTTCTTAGTTTTATTGATTAAAGAATCCTAATCTCTGCTGAGACACTTCAAAAGGAACTGCAGATTTTCCTTCAAAACTGAACTGTCAAAGAGAAATCACCATGAGACCACCTCACCATGTCCCCAAGGGCACTGACCACTCTGACCCAGTCTGTCTTCCACTCCAGCCTCTTCATGCTCCTGTCTTGTGGCCACCAGACATCTGCCACCTGTGTGATTCTACCCAGATGATTAACACAGATTTCCCTGCAAGTAAAATTTTCAAACTAGATTGGCTTCTCTTAGAGAAAAATCACTTTTCGTGCAACCCCTTCGGATCCAAGAGCGACTTCTAAGAGACGTGTGTGATGCCACATCTGATCACCAAGACTTCCCCCAATGACCAAGGGAGAGGATGGGGTACAGGTTAAATCTTTGAGACGAGGGTCGAGTTCCTCACTTCGGCCTCCAGCCAATCAATGAGGATCTGGTTCACCTCAGCCGGCCTGAACGGGACAAAGCGGGGATCACATGAGGCCACTGACCTGTGCCAAGACTGCTGGAGTCCATGGCAGCAGCATGAAGCCCGAAAGCTTTCATTAAGTAATGTAAACAGGGTCCTGATTTCCACCCAGGGAACTCAGGTCTCCTTACTTCTGCATCTGTGTCCAGTGTCCGCAATTCTTAATGTGTCCCCTTTTCAGGTGGGGAATCTGAAAGAAAAGCCCATCCAGGAAAGGTAAGCAGCCAAATGCAAGTGGCTTTGGTGTCCGTTTAGTGTGATGATGGAGGGCAACCTGGGAGGGTAGGGGACCCCTTGGCTCTCTATGCCCCACAGGCCACCCTCAGTGAGCCCCGCATCATTTAGGAAAGGAATGAGGCCCGAAGGAGAGTCTACGTCAATACAGACAAGGGAGAGGCAGTCAGCAGGGGATGGTGATGTCAGCGGCCAGGCCCTGTCGGAGCAGGGCTCTAGTGGACCGTCTCATCCTCGCTGCTGTCTCCCACTGGACCCTGTGAGCACTCCCAGGCAGCAATCATGACCCCAGGCAGGGTGTTCCCTCACCCAGTCCTCCATGTGCTTGGACAATTCAGGGAAGAGTATGAAATCTTCCTCTGCTGTCACCATCAGGGCTGGGATCAGGATCTGGTGGGGAACAGGCCACAGGGTAGCAGCACTCCTCCACCAGACACCTCCACCCACACCCAAACCGTAGCGGCATCCTCATGCCCGTGCGTGTGTGTGTGTGTGTGCATGCGCGTGTGTGCTGTCTTCCACCATCCCCACCCTAGAAATACCCGCCTCCCTGCTGCAGTCCTGGCTGTGCTTGTGCCAAGCTGAGCAGGAGGGAGTCTTCCTGATTCCTGGAGATCTTTTGGGTGGTGGGCGCAGGGACACAGTGATCCCCCTGCCACACACACTGTTGTGTCAAGGTGTCTGATCTGCATGTTCCATGACTGGGGCTCACGGAACTGATTCCATGGCACGGCTAGGAGGACATAGGCCAAGATTCCTTTAGTCTCCTTAAACACGGCGACCAGCACTCCAGAGGCCAAAAGGGGGAGCAACAGCAATTAGCAAGACGACCCTGACTGAAGTCAGCAGAAATGATATCCCGAGTCACCATGGCGGGGTGTGTGTGTCTATAACTAAATTCTAGAATGTTCTGAGCCAAAATGTAAACTGGTGAGGGTGCGTGAGAGTGGATGGGAGAGGAGTTGGCAGGAAGAGGTGGCGGGTGATGGCGGAGGAGGGGCGTGCCCAGCCTGCACTACTGGGGTCTCCTTCCCAGTGCCTCTGTTTCCCTCTGGGCTTGACAGATCTGGTCTGTGGAACAGCGGCTGGGAAAGTTTTGTCAGTCAGAGAATATAATGGTAGTAATGACAAAAATTAGTTGAACAAGGATCCTCTGCCAAGTACCTGCTCTTAATGCCACACACAGCCCATTTCCTGATCGAGGGGGCACTGCTCTTGTCATTTCCTTTTTGCAGAGTAGGCAACAGCAGGGCAGAGCGGTCAAGGGCCTTTCCCAACATCACTGGGGCCGACCTGCTTCTCAGCCTGCTGTAAACCACGATGTTGTGTCCTCTGCTGCCCGGAGACCCACTCCGGAAGGCCAGGACCTGCCCGCAGGAGTGGCTGTGATGCCCCTGAGGTCAAGCTCCCTGCTCAGCACATGGCTGGTACGTTCACTACAGGATGGGAACCCAGAGCTGACCAGGCTCCCTGGGAGCAGCCCAAGGCCTGCTCCTTACAATATGGCTTTTTAATGTTTTCAGTGTAAGATTATTCATTCCGGAGACCAAGGAACTGCAAACCTATCATGTGCTGGACAAATGAGGACACAGACTGAAAGACCCAACCAGGAAGTGCCATCACCAGAGGCCAAAGGCACGTCCAGGACCATTCCACACGCCTGTGGTCGGGGTCCGGCGACCCCGTCACTCGGGAGACGTCCTGGCCCATCTGCCAGGACACAGCCCTGCTGTCCCAGTGCCGCTCTCCATCACCCCAGGTGATGCATGGGGAGAAGCCCCGGAGGAGGCCCGAGGGGAGTCCTGTCCCTGCCCAGCTCTGCCCGAGGGTCCCGGGTCAGGACGGACGCTGCACTCACCTTCCGGCCCACAGCTCTGCAGCCCCACTTCCAGTTCCGTTCCATGTTGCGGTACCAGTTCAGGGGGCCTCTAGGAGGGGTTGGAAGAGGCAGGTGAGCTTCCAGGGGTTCACTGCTGTAGCCCCCACAGGCACCTCCAGGGGGCGCAGCTTTCTGTAGGGCCTCGCAAGCGGGCCCGTGACACGGCGCTCGGGGTCCTAACCCTGACCCTTGCCAGTGGCAGAGGCAGAGGATTCAACGGAGGGCAGCCCCAGGGGGTTTCCAGGACTCTCCTCCACGGAGTGCTGGCTTTGGTGGGGCTGCTGGGTAGCATGCGAAGCCCTCCAAGCCCGGGGGCCGCTCCCTTGCTCTCCAGAGCCCACTGAAAAGGAGCACTGGGAAGCACTGCAAAAGCCCTGGACCGACTTCTACGTTATTCCCACGGGTTTCTGTGCTTTTCTGAGGACAGATCCATCGTTTCATTCTCAGGGGAGCTGCAACTGAAAAACAATTAAAAATCTGTGCCTTGTGGGAGGCCCAAGGCATAAAAAAGACCTAGGTAGGCTATCTGAAAGAAAGCTGAGCCCCAGATGGTAGTGAGATGCCTGACACTGGAGGCATTCAAGCACGGTGGGCCCAGAACTCAGAGCAGACTGATGGAGGGAGACCGCTGGGGTGCCACTCCACTGACCGTCTTGCCTCTGTGTCACGGGCACCATCCGAGGCGTACCTGAAGCCAGACTTCTTGAACTGCTGCACGTAGTACTGAATATCTTCCTCAGTGACCATCTTGCTGAGACCGGGGTCCTCTGGGGTCTGCACAAAGAGTCCTCCTGAAAAGAACCACTTGTCTCACCTGCGCTCCCTCTCGCTAGTGCTCCTCCCCCGGGGTCAGACCCAGGGTGACATGTGTCAGGCCAGGTCTGCCCTGCCTTCCCTGCTCCCTCAGACTAAACCCTTTTCCCCTTTGGAGACGTCGTTACCAAGATTTTCTCTCCATGCTGCCTGGTGGACAGGAAGACCCTAAGGCCAGGGAGCGGGGGTCCCACTGCAGACCCTCCTTCGGCTTCTCTGTGCAGAATCCTATCAGTGCTCCAGAGTGTGTCCTGGCAGTAGCTGGTCCCCCGAGAGGGCCACTTATGCCACCAACTGGCAGTAGAGGGATGATGCACTTTCTAGGGTGCCCTGTGGTGTCAGTGCTGGCACCCAAATGGCCCTGGATCACCACTTTGAGACTCAAGATACAGGAGCTGGACATTGTAGGCTTCTGTACCTTATGTCACAGGGCCAAGTGGCCAGGTGTGGCAGGCTGGCACTCTGCCCCCAGCTGCGAGAGCATAAGCTGCCTGCTGTGTTCACCCCTTGCTGCTGCTCCCCCACCCATCCTCCCCTCCCCTGGCCCTGTCTCTGTGGAAGGCACGTGCTCAGAATGCCCTGCGGGGAGTGGCCGAGCAAATGAGTGTGCTAGGGCGTGGGTGCTTGAGAACATAAAGTAAAGGAGGGATGGAGGAGGCGTTCGTGAGCTGGACAGCCTCTAGGATCAGAGGAGTTTGGCCCCAACGCTGCCCTTCTGCGTAAGTCAACCCTGAGACTTGTTTTGTAGTGTGGAGATCATGGTGATGATGTCAGACTTGTTACAGGGATTATACATAATCTATGTCACGGGGCAAAGCCCAGTGTCTGATGCCAACAGTAAGGGCTCAAAGCCGTGACGTCACTATTAATAATACACAAGAGGATGATGGGAAGGACGCAGTGTTGGGTCAAAACAAGGTTTTGTGGAAACAAGGCTCTGATCTGAGCTCCACTCCATCTGCTCATTATGGTCCAGCCCTGCAGGGAGAAAAGGGATGTCCCTCCTAGAGCGATCCAGGCAGGGTCTTGGGGAACAAGAGCCAGTGGGTGATGAAGGAGATCCCTTTGCCTCCTCCCACACTCGGGGTGATCCGCCATCCCGTTTCCAGCATGGTCTCGCGTCCTCATCAGCACAGGTGGGGTTGCCCCCAATAAACTCCCAAAATCCTCCAAGCCCTGCCTGCTAAGGATCCTGGTACACAGCTCCCTACAGCAAAGGGCCCTGGTCCATATGGTCAGGCTTGGGTTGCAGTGAGCACCACGTGCCCTGTGGGGCTGGGCTGGGTAAGTCAAGGTTCAGGGCAGGAGGGAATTCTGCCACAGCAGTCAGCGGGGGGAAAAAGCCACCACGTGCAGATGCTGTGGCCCCGCTGCTTCCCTTCTCCTGGGAACGTGTCTTACCCATTTCGGTGACTTTATGCACAGTGAGAAAATTCTATGGGAAGAAAAGAGAAAGCACGTCAGAGAACCAAAGCAAGATTCCGGAAACAGGTCTCTGAAAGCCCCGTTACAACAAAACTCCAGTAAGTACCACATAGGCTACCACGGTGCTATGCAGACCGCCCCAGAGAGGGATTTGTTCTGAGACCCTCGGGACGAATCCCAAAGGTGGACTAGACCAGGCTGAACTGAACCCTACAGGCTATGTGCTTGTTTCTACATGCTTTTGGTAAGTACAAACACATGTATGATAAAGTTTAACTTCATAAATGAGGACAGAAAGACACTGCCCATAACTAATAAGAAAACAGAATAATTATTAACAATACTGTAATGAAAGGTATGTCCACATGGCCTCTCTTTCTCTCTCGAAACATGAGACAAGAAGATGAGTCACACCCCAAGTGGGGCAGTGCTAGATTTCACTACACTTACTCAGAACGGTACATGATGTAAAACGATTTTTTTCCTGGAATTTTTCATTTAATGTTTATGGGCCTCGGTTGGCTGAAAATAACTGAAGCCATGGAAAGTGAAATGATGGATGAGTGGACTTTTCAATCACAAGCACGCTAAGTCCCCAAGAGACCAAGGGACCTTCGGAGAGTCAAACATTCCAGACTGACAAAGTTCTGTGCGCAGACGGCACCAAGGAGGTGTCAAGTCTTGTGCTGATCAACCAGCTGGACTGAGAGACGAGACCTGAGACCCACAGTGGGCCAAGGACGGAGGATGAGACACTCCTTGTCCCTCCGTGATAAACCCAGTGCTTTACCCTCGGCTAAAGGACCAACTAGGAAAAATCCACCCATCATGGCAAGCGACGTTAAGGGAATTTACCCTTCCTTCTAAGCTTGCTACCAAAGGAAAACCAAAACAAGCTTTCCTAAAAGTTCACAGCTACTAACCTGCCTTCACCCATGCCTGTGTGTGAACTTACACTGTCTGTGTGATCAGGAAAGCCCGACGTGTGACACAAACAACGAAGCAAACCTGGGCAGGGAATGCAGCCAACGAGGAGCACCAGAGAAGGCTAAGCCACTCGAGACGGTCAGGGCTGGAGCAGATGCGATCTCACACCGAAATCACAACACACACACACTCACACACAGTTCCTTAGCAAGAGATAGCAAATGCAGCTATCAGTAAAATATGGATCTTCACAATAAAACAAACCAGAACAAAATAGAAGAGGGAAAGAAGATCAAACATGAATATATTTAAAATAATTAAAGCCACAAAAAGAACCAAAAAATTAGAATATATCAAGACTATCAAAATAAATTGGAATGATCTGAAAAAGTACCAAATACAGCTTTCATAAATAAAAATAGCTTAATTTTAGTTAAAAATGGGCTGGGGATTGGTTCAGTGGTTCTACCACCTGCCTCGCAAGCGCAAGGATCTAAATTTGATCCCCAGTACTAAAAAAACAAAAACAAAAACAAAGCTTCAAAGCAGTAGTAGACCACAGGTTATCTGACAGATGTATAAAGCAAATATGAAAATGTACACTTGAAGCAGATTTCTCAAAAGCAACAACAGAAGAGAATTTTGTGATCAGATAAACCATTGTGCAAAATTAAACACAAAAATATGTTTTTAGGTAGAAATAGTGCGTGAGGACTAAACCCATGGCCTTTGCACTGAGCTACATCCTCAAACCTAATTTTATTTTTATTTTTTCAGACCGGTCCCCACTAAGTTAATAAACTGCCTAGGCTGGCCTCAAATTTGTGATCCTCCCATCTCAGCTTCCCAGCGTGCTGAGATCACAGGTGTCCACAGCAGACTTTCACTGGAGAACCACTGAAGGAGGCACTCCGAGAAGAAAGCAGCTAAACTTGTCAGGAATGAGAGAGATGCAAGAAGTGGTCAGAAAGAAACTGGAAGACAAGCAGGCCGTGAGTGTACACAGAGCACCAGAGAGGATCAGCACTGCTGCATGAGGCAGGGCGTGCTCGATACGGAGTGAAAGTGTCCCATCTCCTCTGCGAGGCCAAGGAAAGGGTAGGAGTAAGTCAGTTGTACAGACTGAACAGCAATGTATAACATGGTTTCCAAATCATCACCATTGTCACCAGTGTTCGGTCTTGTGTGACTGGGAGGAGGTGATTTTTCTTCACTAACAAGGGGACAGCAGAGTGGGGCCTCCTATCAACCTGACCTCAGCTGTCAGGATAAGAAAGCCAAATGGCTAATCCCAGGCCCTGCAGCACCCCAGTTACCCTCTTCCTTCACAGCAGGCCCTTCTTGCCCTCCCATGACCAGCCTCAACACTCACCTCATCGCTGGCTCTGAAGATGGATTTGAAGGTGCGACTCAGGTTCTGCTCCAGCTCAGCCTCCGCCACTCCCTGCAACAGTTGAGGAAGCGAAATGAAGGACCCTAGACACCTCAGAAACCACATTCCATCCCCTTCTTCCCCACGCAAGGAGCACCGTGCCTGTGTCTCTCTACCAGAGTGTCATGACCGCCACAGTTGCATGGAAATACATAGTCAAGAAAAGGTTAAAGTACAGGATTCTAACCCCCAGATACATAGGTTAATGGATAGATGGATGCAGGAATAGTTTGGGGGCACTGGGGTGGTGAGAAGACCAGAGAGGCTCCCAGGACTTTGAGACAACAAGTATCAAAGGCCAAAAGCTGTAATTCCAAACCAGTTGTGTCCAGACACTCAGTTTTACTGCAGTAACATCAAAACCAGCTTCTCTGGGCTGGGCCTAAACCATTACAGGCTATGAGACTGCCGGTAGATTATCTTCCTGAGGATGGAGCAGCCAATTTCCACTGCTTATTTGCTGGGACACATATCCTTCTTGGTGATAAATGACCCAATGATTCTACCTCCTGGGAGTGCTACCACATGTGGCTACTTGACCTATTACATGTTATGGTTGGGCCTTCAATACTGCGGTCCCGGACGGTGAGCTGGACAGTGCGGACCCTGGACGGAGGGGAGGGCCTGGGGCTGTGTGCATGCTACTTTTGTTTTCTGCCTCTTTTTTCCTTTTTCTAATCTTTTTGTGTTTTACATTCAGAAGACACCAGTCTACTGCAAACCAAAGAGGCCCAGAATGCTGGTGAGGGGTTGACAATTAAAAAGATATTTAAACATCCAAAATATTTATAAAGAGTTAACATTCACAAGCAGTTCTAGCAAATACTCATGCACCTTCTGTCACGTGGGGCACAGGGAAGAGTACAAGCTAAAGAACTGATGGGCAGTTGGGCAGGTAGGAAATAGCACAGAGGACGACGCAGCAAAAAGGCCTGTGTATAGTAATAGTTTCCCCTGGCTGCCCAGAAGGGCAGTTTTTACCAAAGGGGCCAGCCACAGTAATTCGGCAAAGACCAAGAGCTGTCGGGCTGGGCAGCCTTGCTGCTTCATGTACGGATCTGGGAGCTGGCTAGAAAGGCAGGGCCTCAGGTTCCCCCAGCTTCACCAAACCAGACTGCATTTCACCTCTGCCACCCAACCACCTGCACTCTGAAAGCCTGGAGGACCACTGCCTCCAGTCCATGTGCTGCCTGCAGACACACAGAGGTCAACGCAAGGACACAAGAAGAAAGACAAGCACGGCCACCAAGCTTCTTGTCGTCTTGTATTCCCTCCTTTCTTGCTCCTTTCCATTAACCCAGCATTTGTTGGGAGCCTAATACGACCTTGCTTTGGCAGTAAGAATAAAAATACAATGAGATACAGGGCGTGTGCACACGAGATGACATGGTAAAAAGCGAGACCAAAAATAGATGATTCCCGTCCACTTCCATAACCTTACGGACGGAGATGGTGACAACACGTTAGCGTGTACTGGCCCGACTCCGAGGTGTCAGGAAGGCTGTTCGCAGGCAGGGACACCGAGGCCCGGAAGAGCTAAGCAGTGCTGACACTGGGGCTCGACACCGCATGTGCTGGATTCAGCAGTCCATCCTCTAACTCTGGGTTCAGGAGGATGAAAGGAGGGCTACATCGTCCAGCTGGGAGGCCAGGGTATTTGTCATTGGTTTATGGGGTGTAAACACAGTGGTCTGGAACTTAATTCATTCGCTGCCTCTGTGGGAGATGGCCAGGTTCGCGTTTATCACTGGACGCGGATCAGGAACTGAAGCGACATTTTGCTGAGTGCCTCCGTATGCAAACAGAATCGCTCAGGGACAGAGGCATTCGTGAACAGAGGCCCCCTGGCACAGCGTTACCTTCTGTGAATCAGGCTCTGACACAATCGGCTGGGCACAAACCAGAGCACCATTGTTCTAACCTCCTTTCTTTCCAGCCTTTGCCTCGCTCCCACTCCTGCGGTCTGTCTGATGGGCTTTTATGTGGACGGACAGATTAATCCACCCATCCGCCCTCTTTGATTTACTTTTCACTGCCCTAATGGTATCCACTTGCTCTTCTAAGGATGCTCTGAGAACCAAGCCCTGTCCATGCCGTCTAGGTCCCTCCCAACACCGAGCTCCTTCCCTGGTTAACAGTAACAGGGACCTTTGCCATAAATCAGAATCGTAAACGACGACACGCAGGCTGCCCCGGCCTTCGCCTTCCCATCGCTCACGGCAGTGTCGTCCTCCCGTTTCTGGGTCTTGCTGAAGCAGAAGCCACCATCGGTCCTCCGCTTTAGTCGAATCTCACAAAGGAGCAGATGATAAACGTCTCCCTTCCTTCCCGTGTTCCCATGGCACAGATTCAAGCCCCACATGGGACAGGACAAAGTGACCTCTCCAAGCGTGTGAGGCCTCGGGACTACCGGTCACAAGGGCTTCGTGGGTGACGCTTCAGGGTCCTCCTCTCGGGAATCATTTTCGGGCTCTGCTGTACCTCAGGACGAGCCACAGATGATGCCAAGAACAGAAGAGACCCTGACTGCTAAGTGGCCCAGGTCACAGCTCTGGGGACTCAAAAGGGGCAGTTATTTGGCGACAGTGTCCTGCAGAAGGCAGTGTTGGGAGGGGGATGAAAGGTCCGGTTGGGCAGGTGGCCCTCCTGGGTGAGCAGAGTTCCGTTTGCAGAGCATCCTACAGTCCTGTGTGGCTGGGAGCTTGGTGCAGGCTCCTGCTTAGAGACTGTACTGAAGAAAGACTTGTTTTCTTCCTGAGCAGTTCACCCATGCTGCTCTTCTCAGTGAACTGAACCCCAAAGGTGGCAGTGACCCACCACCACCACAGTGTCGCCCACAGTCCCATGCTGTCTTTGCAAGGCATCTTGCTGGCACATGGGTTGGTACCTAGAAAGTTTCCACACTTGTGCAGCACAATGGGGGCCTACTGTTGTAGTGTTTGACCCACAATCACAAAGCTCAGTCATCAGGAGCAGAGATGCCAGGCTCGTTGGTGACAGGCCAGGCCATGAACCGTCACCAGGAAGACAGATGGATTTCTACAGCCTGTCGGCCCGAAAGGAAGAAGAGGGGCTCTGAGTGAGCCCTCATCTTTTGAGTCCAATGTTTCCAAGAAGCAGGAGAATCCAGTGTGGCAGTAGATCCTACTCCCCTGCCCTCTGCTGCCCCGAAATGTGCCACCAGAGGACCTGCTGAGCTCTGCAGCCGGTTGCCTCCAAGCCCATCTGTAAAATCATATCTGACTAATGCTACAGGAAATGGCAGGCGACAGAGACAACCAATAGGGAGAAGGACAGCAGGACTGTAATGCTGGCATCACTGCCCGCAGCACTGCACACTTACTGGTTCTTGGAAGTAGAGCTGGTAATCAAAGACTGGAATGGCTTTGATGGTCTCCATGGGGTGCACCTTGGGATTTGCTGGGATGAAAGGGGTGTTCAAACTGGCCACTGCCCTGCAGAAAGAGAGGCACCAAGACACAGCCTGTAAGAAGACAGGCTACAAGAACCAGAGAGGCTCTTGCACGTTAACATTGAAGGGTAGAGCAGAAAAACTGTGTGTATAAGGGCTTAGGGATTAGAATCCAGATTTTAAAATTCCTAGCTCAATGGTTTTTCTTATCTACTCATCTGAAATATTCCTCACCTACCTGTCTTAGACAAAGAAATATACATTTTTTTTGTTTTTGTACCGAGGATCAGGCAGTGGCTCCACTGAGCTAAATTCCCGGCCCAGAAATATCCATATTATGCATCATATCAACACAGATTACACTGTGCAGATACTTTCGTGACTCTCTAGTTTTAAAAAATGTCCGCTTTTTAAAATCATTCTTTCATTCACTCACTGTATATTCTCCGTGCAGAGTGTAATTCTATGTTATGTACCAGGGAGAGGAAAATATAAGAGAAATAAAATAGTCCCTCTCCTCCAAGGAATTTATTAGACATTAAGGAGAGATTAAGGAAAGAAATACATAGTTATAGTATCTTGTGGCTGTGATATGAGCCATAAAAATTGTGTGAAATACCATGAGAGTTGAAAGGAGAACAAGAATATCTGAATGTGAGCATCATGGGAGACCTCGGGGGCAAGACAATATCTGAACTTGGTTTTAAGGGTGGAAAAAGTCGGGGAAGCAACACCATCATGAGGGAGCAGGCACAGCAAGTTCTGAAAGCGGGGAATGCTCATGGCTTTGCTGGACAGAGCAAGAGATGATGCCATTCGAGGCTGAGCGTTTAAGAAGAGCATCTTGAGAAACATGAAACTGCACGGCAGTGGGAGCCTGGACACTGAGAGCCCCGAGCCTGGACCTGATGCTGTAGGAAACCAAGAAAGCCATGGGGCCTTCTGAGAAAGGGCAGCGTGGCTCAACGCTGTAGGCAGGGAGACGAATCAAGCAGTGATAGAGCAAGTGGATGCAGCACGGGAATCCGGAAGCAGGTGTCAGCAGCAGAGCCCTGCACTGGTCACCGTCTCAGGAAGCAGGGTGACAGCAGTGAGGAGGGGGGATGACTTTGAGACAATGCTCAGACAGCATCATCAGGACTACAGTGGGTGCCGGCCTGCAAGCATTCCAGATCTGGCTCCTAGCCTGGAGCAGCTTTTTCCCAGAAGAGAAAGAGAAATACGTGGGGAGAAATCCAGAATAGGGAGACTGGGAGCATCAGAGCAAATGAAATAATCGGGGAATAGAATGAGGAGGATTGGCAAGTCCAGGCAGCCTGTCCATCTATCGTGCAAATCACAAACATAATTTAAAATTTCTCTTAGCCAGAATAAAACAGATGAGATAAATTGAAATATTTAAAATGTAAAAAACAGGTGAGATAAACTCTAATATTTAAGTCAATAGATCTATGATATTAATAATTCAAATATAATCAATATTAACAATCAGTGAGATATTTCACATTCATTCTTTTCCTTTTCCCTTTCTCCCACCCTCCCTCCCTCTTTTCTTCATGAAGCTCTTGAAATCTGGCAGGTGTTTTCCACACACAGTAAACTCAAGTTAAACTGTCTGCATTTGAAGTGTTCAACAGTCACATGGCAGTGGCTGCCACACTGAATAGCAGGGCTGGGGTAGAAAATAAATTATACTGATGACAATAGGCTTCTAATGTTACAATAGTGAACCAATTTTCAGCATTATTTAAATCACAAGTCAAGAAATTCCAGCTTTTACTACCTATTCTGAGAGGAATGGGGTTTTTAAATCACTTTGACCAGGAAAAATGCATCCAAAGGCCCCTCTAGTGATGACTTGGAATGGGATAATGGTGATCCCAGGACGCCATGCTAACTCTACATCCTTACAGCACGTTGCAGGTTGTATATGCAGGTAGTAGTGCTTACTGCTGCCCGTGGCTGAGGAAATGAAGATCTAAGAGTTGGAAGTGATCTGTCCGTGGCCACTTCAGGGCAGAACTGAAGGCCACATTTTTTGACTCCCAGGCTAAGGCTGAACTCCCTTCTAGGCATTCACTCTGTGTCTCCAACACCCCTTAGCCACCTTCCCACTCCCCTATAGTCAGCCATTGTTTTCCTACATTCCCACTGGCCACTCCGGCTGGCTCTGGGTTACTTGTCACACTTGAGGACAGAGCTTGATTTATAATTCACACATTCATTAGGCCTCCTTGTGGATGTGTCAATGGGAGCCAAAGGGCGGAAGGGTTAACTTTCCAGATGACTGCTTTGATTTCAATAAATTTTTTTGAAGAAAAAGCCCTGAGGTGCAATTCTCTAACGAGTTCAAGTCCAGTCTTGGCAAACGCCTATTGCCTGCGGCCCACTCACCTCACTCTCTCCGGGTAGAAGAGGGCCATGCTCCACACCAGAACACCTGCCCAATCGTGGCCAATAAACACCGCCTGCGGAATGCCCTGTAGGAGGAGCAAGCAGGGACCGGATGTGACGCAAGGTAAATGCATTTCCGGAATGGGCTTCCAGGAGCCGAAGGCCTCTTCTGCTGAGCACAGGACGCCTCACCTGTGTAGTTTCCCTGAGACATATACTCTTCTCAAACATCCATTCCAACACAGGCCTCCACACACCTCAAGAACCACTCGCCTTTCTCATTTTCTTAGAAGACCTAGGCCATTGGTCCTGAGTTCTTTCTCTCACGCTTCCTTCCCTCCAAATTCTGTTCTCCCCGTTCTCCCGTGTCTCAGAAAAGAAGTATGATTTCCGATCCCCTGTTCCATGGTCTCTTCCACTGAGTCATGATTCTGCCCTCACTCTCTAGGCTCCCCTCCCTTCATCATCCAGAAGTTCAAGAGCATCCCGCTCGTCTTCCTTTCTGTTGCTGCTTGCTGCTGCCAATGCACGCCCTCTAATCGCTCACCTTCCCTGACCTAGAACTCTTCTGGATGCACACATCCACAGCCTGAAATCTTCCCATGACCTTCCATACCCATCTTACAAATGGGAAATCAGGCTCCTGTGGCTATGGACTACTGGGGGGTTGAACCCAGGACTTTTGCACTGAGCTTTACCCCCAAACTTTTTTTTTTTTTTTTTTTTTTTTTTTTTGCGACAGGGTAGTGCTAAGTCACTAAGTTGCTCAGGCTAGGTGCACACTTGTGATCCTCCTGCCTCAGCCTCCCAGAGTGCTGGGATTATTGACCTATGCCACCACACCAAGCTCCGGCTTTGCTCCTTTGTACTATCAAATTTCTCGCAGTGTCTACACCAGTCACCTCCCTAAATAGCTCCTTGAGCTCCTGTAGCTTGGCTACTCCCTGCTACCCCAAGTCTATGGTGCCTCCCTCTCAAGGCTACTACCATAATCCTCACCCTCTGGGTGTGGTGTTTCCTGGTCCTCACCCTTTCCTCACTCGGCAGCCTCATGTATTTCCTTTGATATTTCTTTCCCACGTCTTCTGTGGCCCTGGGCCTCCTACGCCCCGAGGTCGCTGACTTTACTCCTTCTTCTACCTCTCACCGGGGACTGTCTCGTGGCTCTGCCCTCAGGATCTCCCCTGACACTGTCCATGAGGAGTCGTCTGCTCACACCACTTCCTCTTCTGCCCCCAGAGACAAGAACACCTCGTCTGTGCCTGGCCCAGGCCCTTCCCAGGCCTCCCTGCCATGACCTTGCTGACCCACAGCCACAAGTCCTCTTTCACCAGGCTGAGACAATCTCAGTCAGCTCCAAGTTGTAGTGAGAAGGCCAGAGTCAGGACCGGGCACTGAGATATCCTCATCACATACATTCCCAACCCAATTCCCGGGTTGGGAACGTGCAGGTGGTGGTCTTCCACCTCCTCCTCCAGTGTCTGTGCAGGGCCCTGCTGCCGAACTGGCCACTCCCACATCCAGCTGAGGAGCTAAACCCTGCTTCCTTTGCTTCTCTCTGCTCCGTCTCCACACATCTGTGGCCTGGTACTGCCCTCCTCCACCCATCGCACAGTGTTCTTTGTGTCGCAGGCCGAATCTGGGAAGGGAGAGGGTAGGACACAGTGGCCTCTCAGGAGCACAGTGTGTGGGCTGCTAGTTGCCATGGTGATTGGTTTTCACTCATTATCACTGAGATCGACACTGCCAGTGATGTTAAAGGAAGGCATTGGATTTTCGATATGTCAGAAGAGAGGAAACTGTGACACGTTAGCCAACAGGACATTTTCCACCTTCTTGCCCTGTACTCGAGGATCTCCTCCCTGACGTGAAGCCAGCAATGGTACTGCCCTATTTCCTGGACAGACAAAGAAGCACGTGACTCCATATCACCTTTGTCTTCAGCTTTGTCTTTGACATCCTCCTCCTCCCTGCTGCCCAAAGATGTGCCTTCCCCTGCCCTGATTATCTCTGCCCAGGCCAGGGCTCCAGCAGGTGTCATCTCAAAGTCAGCCACCTTCCCTGTAATTACCCAGCCTCAGACAGAATTCTAAGACAGCAGGTCCACGCAGTGACTTACCAACTTATCCAGGAAGGTCACCATCTCCTAAGAAAGAAAACACAGAAACAGAATCAGAAATTATGTCCACTCACCTCACCCACTTCCAGATCAGAATTACTGTGTTCATTTGGTTTGGGGCTGATTATGAGTTTCCTGCATCCCTAACTCCTGGTACCTCGGCTCTGAATTTGGAAATAGTCTTTAAAAATGAAGTTTTTAGGGTGGGCACTAATCCAGTGTGACTGGTGTTCTTCTAAGAAAGGAGATCAGGACACAGACACCCACAAGAGACACACCACATGAGGACATAGGGAGAGCATGGCCATCTACCAGTCAGCCTAGCAGCCTCAGGAGAAACCAATCCTCTGGTACTTCAGGCTTCAACTTCCAGGTTTCTGAACTCCGAGGACATATATTTCCATTGTATAAGGAGCTCAGTCTGTGGTGTTTTGTTTTGACAGCCCCAGTGGACTAAGACAGACCCTAATGAGGAATTTAGCTGAAGAATTTCCCAGAAGTTCTTAAGGTGCCTTGCAAAGCTGGCCGCATACACAAGGTTCTCTGTCAGGACCCAGACCCACTGACTCTATGATGTGAGTCCTCAAGGCGCTGGGCCTGCAGGAGGAAGAGGGCAGAATTTTGGTCTAGCAACAATGATCAGAGCAACCTGAGTTCCTCTGTCACAGAAGAAGCAACTGGGGTGTGAGGCTTGAAATTAACACAGGGCACATTTACATTCTCCTAGGGACACTGCCGAGCCACCTCCCCCTAAAGAACGTTTTCTTCATCACTCCACTTTCAATTTTCTATTTCATGCTTTTGACTTTGGGTTCGCAAATCAGCTGTGAAACCTGGCCGAGAAGTTGTTGCTGTTTACTGGGCCCTCATCTCTGCAGCACCTTCTCCCTGCCAGCTACAGAAGAAACTCAAAGTGTGGCATTTTGTGTTTTAGCAAATTCCAGCCGCCAACATGGGATCAATGTTGATAGTTCCAAGGCAGCCAGAATCTTGTACTGCTCCTGCAGTGATCCAAAATTTCATTTCCAACAAGGAACTGTTTCCTGTCCTTCCTCTCAACCTCCCCTGCCTCCTCCGCCTCCTCATTCTCTTCCTCCCCCTTCTCCTCTTCCTTTTCTTCATCTTCACCTTCATCTTCTTCTCCTTCTTAACAGCTCATTTGTTGGAAGATCCCTGGTGCTAGAGAAATGTTTTCCAAATAGAACCACCTGGATCTACAGATTTTCTCTGGCCCTGTCCTCAGAACTATCTCCTGGAAAACTCTTAAGGGAGCTCTGCAGCCAGCTAAGAGTGCATTTATACCTGGGCACATCACAGGCCCCTCTTCCCCACATGTAAGGGAGCACTTTACGTTCTATTCCTCCCCACCCCCCAATGCCGCCATCACCAACACATGGTCCAGTACACTCCCACGCCATCTCAACTTGCCACAAGAATTCATTCCCAAAGGCTGTATCACACACCTTCCTCCAGTTTAAAGGAACGCCTGGGCTCCTGGCTTGTGTCAGTGAAAACCCAGGATGGAGGAGATGCTATGGAAGTCACCCAGGACCTTTCTTACCTTACATAGCACTTCCATGGAGTATTCTTCTATTTCTAAGAATAAAAATAAACAACATATTTTATTCCCATGATTTAAAATACAGCAACCACCAAAGAGTCCCTTTGCAAGAACAAACAAGCACACGATTTAGCATCTGATTGTGTTTAAGGGTTCCACTCGCTTTTAACTGACTTCTGTCCAGGATGCAAGATAAGGGTCCCATTTCATCCTTTCGCAGACTTCCTGCTTGGCTTGGAGGAGGCCATCCTCTCCCTGTCACATGTTCCTGGCCCCATGCCAACGACTGGCGCACAGCCTGTGTGTGGACCTACTTCCGGGCTCTCCATTCTGTCCCGCTGCTCTGCCCATCGCCCTAACACCGGTATCAGGCTGCTTCGTCACTGCAGACTGGTGATGTGATTTGAAGTCAGGAAGTGTGATTTCAGGGGCCTCCACTTTTGTTCTTCTCTCTCAAGATAATTTGGATTCCTGTTCTCTCATGGTTCCATAGGGACAGTGGGGCTTTTATTTCTATTTATGTGAAAAATGCCATTGGAATTTGGATAAGGTTTTCACTGCCTATGTACATTGCTTTGGGGATAATAATTCTAGAAAAGAATGAAGAAAGAAAAGAGAGAAAAACAAAAAAATGGTTCAAGAAATTAATTCAACATGAGTTCTAAGGATTAAGAGATATTTACATCCACCAAATGAATGGAAAAATACCCATGTTAACGTACAATGTTGTACAACTTCAGAACACAACAAATAAAAAACATCTTAAGTGTGTTAAAACTAAGGGGAAGAAACCCAGTAGTCAGACAGGATGCCTCATAGATCAGAAGACCAGTGACTTTGTCAGTGACAGTAGAAGCTCACAAAAGGTAGGACGGGGATTCAAATATTTAAGAGAAAAGTTTGTTGTTGTAGTTTGTTAGTTTGTTTTGGTACTGGGGATCGAACTCGGGACCTTGCGTTTGCAGGGCAGGCGGTGGAAGCACTGAGCTAAATCCCCGGCCCCTTGAGAAAAGTTTTTTAAACCTAAACTCTAGAGTCAAATGATATGAAATGTACACATAAGCTCTCTGAGGTGTATGTGTTATGTATTCCAAATCATGATGCTTGGCTTTAGAACTCAGAATCTTTCAACAGTAGCGAACATTCAAATTATGGTTTTCTAAAAGAGAAGCAGAAAGTCAGGAAAGGTGGGAGAGAGATGGAGAAAGAAGGCTGGAGAGAGAGAGGTTAAAAGAGGACAGGACAGACGAGAGACAGAAATATGAATATAAATTAATTAGGGCAAAACCACAAGTCTCAGTTTGTCCAGGTCAGGTCCAGTTCAAGGGATACTAACATATTACCAGTGTATTATTCCCTTTTTATAATGTGCTAGTGTCCATGCTAACTTGCATTACTAAGCTATGCCTGTGAGATTCACCCGACTGAGATATATGTGAATAAAAACAACACATCCTAATAGGTGAATTATAAAGTGGAAGCCCTCAGCTGACTTTCCCAGCTGGCTGAGCCAGACAGCGCCCATTCACCTAAAAGTCTGCATTGTTTGCAGAGGCTGGGAAGGCTGAGCCCACACTACCACCCTGAGGGAAAGACACCCCTAAGAGTGTGCTGTGCTGAGAGGACAAGTGGGTGGCCACCTGCGCAGCCTCAGGCCAGGTCAGCTGGCTGCAGGCATCACAGCCAGATGTGCCAGGTGTGATCCCGGGGCAGCAGCTCAGCACAGGGGTGGCAGGGCGTGGCTCACTGACTGGGAGGGACCAGGAACATGCTTGCGCCTGGCCGCTTTACATTCCTACCTCCATGCTGAGGATTTTAAGCATTGGGCTGAGGATGCCTTGAAACTAATTTTTAAAAAATGCTCACAAGCCTGCATGTTGGTCTCAGGGCCTCACAGGCTGTTAATGCCCATCCCCGGATAGATTCCCACTGCAATCCATAAACACTGCTTCAAGAATCTGTTCTCCAAATTACTACAGAATTCGGCCATCGTACTTCCGGACAGGTACCCTAAAATGCAGCAATCAGCAAGCAAACAGGTATTTGTGCACCTGTGCTCCCAGCAGCACTATGCAAAGTAGCGAAAAGGTGGAAGGAGCCTGAGAGTTCTGTGGTAGACGAGCGCAGAGCTCACAATGAAAGAGCATTTACCTTAACCAAGGAGGCAGCCCGGCAATGCGCTACATCATGGATGACCCCGGAGCACGGGTGCTAAGTGAGATAAGCCAGGCACAAGGGAAAGCTACCGCATGATTCCACCAGGGTGAAGCACCTGGAGGATTCAAACCCACAGACAGAGTGCAGAATGGGGGCTGCCAGGCGCCGGGGGAGGAAGCAATGAGCTGTTATTTCATGAGTGCAGCTTTCAGTCTTGGAAGGTGAGAAAATTTCTGGAGAAGTGTGGCGCTTCCTACAATGCTGAGGACCAGGAGGAGGCTGCCTTGGGAATGGGTCTGGAGTTTCTCTGGGGAACACCTGGGGCCCAAGGTACAGGCACTGCAGGAAAGGAGAAGGGTGAGTCAGATCCCCTGGCAGCCTGCCCCGCCCCGGGACCGGACCCCTCAGTGGGGTGGAGAGCAGGACAGGCAGACACACGGCCACACAGGTCAGCCGCCGCCAACCAACCTACCGGGAGGGGAGGACGAGTCGCCGTAGCCTTTCATGTCCATCGCTAGGACCCGGTAGCCCGCGTGGGCCAGAGCAGGGATCTGCAAAGCAAACAATTCAGGTCCACTGCAGTGTGGTCGCACCGTCGAAGGCTGACACTGCATGCTCGCTCTACTCGGTCCCCTCATCCTGCAAACCGCTCCACCCCAGCTACCACATAGCACCACCGGGCCCCCCACCACGGTGCTGGCAGGAGCCCACCTGCTCGGGCTGCCACAAACAGTGTGTGCCGTGCACCAGTGCCACAGGTACTTAAGAAAGCACCTCTGCTGCCAAAGCCCTTGCAGATTTCTATACTCACCACAGCGCTTTCCCAGTAGGTGGTGAAGAGGGTCCTGAAGAATCTGCCTTCCTCCCCTCCCCTCCAAAGCTGGGGTGGCCTGGGGTGACCTTCCTCAGTTTCCCTTACCTGGTACCTCCAAGAGAACCAGCTCTCGGGAAACCCATGGCAGAGGCACACAGCAGGGCCAGAGCCCAGCTCCACGAAGTGCAGACGGACCCCAGGCTGCCGGGAGAGAGGGGGAGAGGTGGTGACCATCGTGTCTCCACTGGGCCGGGGCTGCGATCTGACCTGTAGCCTTAGACCCCTTTCCACCCACTTAAGTGGAGCCAAAGGCATAAGGAGAAATATCCCAAAGTGAATCCACGAAGACATCTTGAAGCTCAGAGTCTGTGTAGATCTGCTGGCTGGGTTAGGATTCAGGAGCCCTGTTCACATGGCATTGGTCTTACCACAGCCCTGGCTCCTTGTGGGTTCCCTGTTCACCCCTGCCCTTCAGTACCCAGCCCATGCCTGGCACAAAGAAAGTGTTTCATAAATACCCACTGAATGAAAAGTTTTCTACTATCCAGAACACAGGCTGGATGTGCACAGACCTCTGTGCCTGGCTTCCCAGGGCCCCAAGGCCTGCTGCTCCATGGGGTTTGACTAAACGGTCTACTACTGCTTTATAGTATCCGAGACAGGGTCAGGGTCTTGTATGAACTTCTGAGCAATGAGACTTTCAGGAAATAATATTTTCTTGAAAGTGGTGGATGTTCACACGCACCTCTGCGGGGTACGCTTTGTGACTCACCTTAACGGTCACAAACCCATGGCTCACGTCACTTGGGCTGCACCGGACTGGCAAAGGGGCTGCAGTTTGGAGAAGCTGGAAGGACAAAGGAGAGACAGAGAGATCGTTTACCTCCCTCCCAGGAGCCATTCCCAGAGTGAACTTAGGACTCCTATGAGAGACCTCTGAGGCTGCCTTTGCCACCCCTCCCCAGGTGCTGCTGGTAACTGACTCATCTCCCTTCTGGGTAAAGCTGGACTCCACGTCCTGCCGCCCCTCTTGTGACCGGGTTCTGCCACTGAAATGCAGACAGCCTCCCAGTCTGGCGAAAACTTCCACCATACTCTACAGTCCATTCTCTTGTTCTGCATCTTCCAGCCAGGTATCTGGTTGACCTCGGAAGCCCCAAACAGAAGACAGTGGATCCTACATCAATCTCAGTCCCTGACTCTCAGGGTGAAGCAAACCCTGGCCACTGCGAACTGAGCTTTATAGAAGCAAGAAAGGAGTGCTTGCTCTAAACCTCTGAGATTCCAACTTAAGTAGAACTCTCTCAGATGGTCAGCAGGCTCTTGCTGGACAGGCCAGAAAGCGGAGCTTACAAGGCAGCTGCTCCGTCACCAGGCACCTCAGTGGAACGCAGTCTCCTTCACGTGGGCCTAAACCTCACTCCCAGAGCCTCTGCTCAGGAGCCTAAACAGAGAACCACAGGCCGGGCAGCATCAACATTTCTGTCCTCACAGCTCTGCAGGTGTGGGCTGGGCTGGTTTCTCCCAAGACCTCTCTCCTTGGCTGTAGACGGCCACCTTCTCCACCTGTTTTCACATGGTCTGCCCTCTGTGCCTGTCTGGACGCCCCCTCCTCTTCTTCCACGGACAGTTGGTTGAATTGGAGCCCACCCTCTAACATCATTGTACCTTAATCTCTCTTTCCAGACCCATCTCAAAATCCAGGCACATTCTGAGGTACTGGGGGCCAGAGCTTCAGCACAGGAGTTTCCGAGATCAGAGCACCCAGGACCTGGCCTCCTCTCCCTTCACACTAGGAAGGCAGAGTCTGGGCTAATGCGGAGCTGGGGAAAGCCTGCCCTGTGAGTGCCGTGTGACCACAGACCTCAGGGCAAGACTGAAGGACACAGGCACCTCAGACCTGAGGTGCTGGCTGGTCCCCAGGCTGCCCAGGGTCACCATTCAGGCTGTCCTGTTCTCCTGGATGAGAGGCAGTTGCTACTTAAGAGCTGACCCGTGACTATCAGGTAGGCAGCGTGAGGCAGGAGGGCAGAATGGGCAGCACTCCTGCGAGGCAGCTAGGACCGTGCTCCTCACAGGAAGAACTTTCATGCAGTGGAGCATGCCTTCAGTCCCAGCTACTCACGAGGCTGAGGCAGGGTGATCCCTTGAGTCCAGGGGGTTGGGACCAGCCTGGGCAACACAGACCCTGCCTCAGAACATAAAGGAGAAGGGAACTAAGAAGGCAAAGAGGAAGAAGGAGAGGGAAAGAGGAGAAGAGGTGGCAGAAGAGGAGGAGGAAGAGGAAGAAGCAAAAAGAGTTATTCAAACAGCAAGGTACGGGAAGCATTGACACTGAACATCTCGTCTGGCTCTCCGACACTGACTTGTTGAAACCACACTTGCTCTCTCTGACTGCAGAGGAAGGCTCAGGGGAATCTTTAGGGTACCGTGCTACCACACCTGGGCGAGGGGCTCCTCTGCAGAGGCTCCTGGGCTCACGCACTGCGCCAGGACTCTGGCCTCCTGCGCTTTCTCCGCATTGAGAGGGAGCACACCAAGCCGGACTCTGCCCGGGCACAACGTTACCTGTGTCCCAGTCACTTTCTCCAGTTCCCTCAGGGCCATGTTGGTGTCGCGGGCGAGGATGGTGACCATTCCCAAGTCACGGGCCGGCTTCAGATTAGACACGAAGTCATCTAGGAAAACCACCTGCATGCAAAGCGGTGTGGGTATCAACCAGAAAGCAAAGGAACATGAAAGGTAGGTGAGGATATGTTATGGTGTGGAAGTGAGGAATCCTGCTACTCTGTGCTTCCACTTACTCTTGGAATTAGAAATTTAATCACATAAGCACGCACGTAGCCCTACACAAGTCCCCACATACATCACTGGTTGTAGCCAATTCTGCAAGAAGCCTGGGGAAAATATAAGCTGATCTTAAAATTCAACAGGGAAAACTGACAATTACAAAGGTTCAAAGATGTTTGGGTAAAACCCCTAATGAGGACAGATAATAAACAAATTATGAACCTACAAAAAAAGTAGAAGAGTTTGGTACTAGAAAAAAAATAGAAATACAAGCCGGGCGTTGTGGCGCACGCCTGTAATTACAGCACTCAGGAGGCTGAGGCAGGAGGATCACTGTGAGTTTGAGAACAGCCTGGGCTACACAGTGAGTTCCAGGTCAGTCTCAACTACATAGGGAGACCCCGTCCCCAAAAAACAAAACAAAACAAAAAAAAGAAATACATATGCAACAGATGAGTGTCTAAAAATAGACTCAAATACAAAGGAGAATTTAGTTTCTAATAAAGGAGCTAGGGAAAAAGGTTATTGATGGCCTTGGTACAAATGGTTGGTGAACTGGAGAAAAAAGTAGAACCTTCATTCACATTTTATCCCAGAATAAATTCTGAATGGATCGAAGATTTAAATTTAAAAAAAAGAAAAAAGACCTTAAAAGTTATAGAAGAAAGCATGAATGTATTTATTTATAATGTAGGACAGAGGCCGAATTCTAAGCATCTCATCCACACAAAACCATGAAAAGGATGAATGATGTATGTGTGCACATCCTAAAACCCACAGCCCAGCTCTCAAGGAACAGAAGCGACACCCACAAGGAGGAAAGCAACAGTCCTGGGACTGCGCAGGCAAGGGACCAGGGACAGGCCGCAGGGTATGTTCCGATGATCACTTGCAAGGGCCCAGCAAGAAAAGGGCGGAACGGGAAGCAAAGAACATTACTGTGGTCCATTCACCATTTGAACATTAATGCTGTGGAACCCAGCCCTGCTCCCCACTGAACTAGCCTTGTGGCCTCCAGCAAAGTCTCCCAGGATCTGTTTCTTCGCTGGTAAACGGAGGCAGCTAGTCTAATAGCTTTGAGTGATACTCGCTTTGACCAAAAGCCTATAAAAGACACACACAGAGGCCAAATGCTCAACTCTGGTAGAACTTTCTAGACTGAAGAATGGGTAAAAATCCTTTAGGAGAAGCCCTAGCCTGGGAGAAATATATGGAGACCTGTCCTGCCAGGTCCTGAACACAAACTCCTCGGTGTTTGTCTGGTCGCAGTCTCGCTGGGACAGTCCTGTCCCCTGAGAGGAAGCATCCACGTACCTCACTGGGACTGGCCTCCAGGGTGTCCAGGACAAGCTTGTAGAGCTCAGGGTCAGGCTTGACCATCCCGACCTGGCAGGACTCTACCAAGAGGTCGAAGTGCGGGCTCAGCTCACACATCATCCGGGCCAGGTCGCCTCTCTCGGCTCTGTCATCCAGCCAGTTGTTGGTGAGGATGCAGGTTTTAAATCCTGTCCAAAATGATACCAGTGAGCAAAGCAAAAAGGATGCCCCAAGTTGCCTCCAGTGGCTGACAAGGCACACTGATAATGGGGCCAAGCAAGGACCTGCTCACTTACACCCGCCTCCCTAGACCCAGCTTTCAATAGATGAGCTGGAGAAGAATGGACCTTACCCAGAGGCACAGACCCAAGGGTGGGCTGATATAACAAGGGTTCTCAGAAGGCCAGGTGGGGGCAGTCCTGTACATCAGCACTGACTCTTGTCAGCTCACTGGATCAGAGCGGTTTAACATTCCTCAGCCCATCTGGCCCTCCGCACTTCTTGGGTGAGCAGGAAAGATCTGAACCCTGTATTTGTACATGAGCAAACCAAAGCTCGGATAAGGTACAAGCTGACAGAGCCACATGGTAAATGGCTGCTGCTCCTTGTTGTCTGTCCTGCTGCAAACCCTGCCTGGCTGTGTTTCCTGAGGATCTGCATTCCCATTCCAAAACCAGACAAGCATAAACAAAGGCAGCTTTAGCTCTTGGCTCTACCTGGTCAACCACAGAACAGGAAGGGGGGAACATGGACATGGGGTGGTGCCTTGGCTTGAATGGGTCCCCTAAAGGCATGTGGTGGAAATATAGCTTGTGCATTTGTGCCTGGGGGGTGGGGTGGGGTGGGCTCTGCCCTTGTGCATGGATTAGTGCTGATATAAAATGGCTTGAGACTGCTCAGTTATCTTGGTCTATCAAAGGTGCGCATGCTGTCTTGCTCTTCTGCCCTGGCCGTAGTAAGATGTAACATGAAAGACCTTGCAGGTGTGGCCCTGACCTTGGTCTTCCAGCCAGAACTAGAAGAAGTAAGCCTGTATTATTTACATAGGACCTAGTTTCAGGAATTCAGTTAGAGCAGCACAGAACAGGCTACAACAGATGGCCTCACTGTGTAACTGCTGGTAAGAGAGCGTGCAACTTCAAATGTGCCTGTGGAGAAGTAACAAGCACCGACACTAATAACATCACTGGACAAACGTGATCGCGTGTCTTAGGCCATGTAACAGCATCTAAGCTTGTGCCAGCCAGCACATTGCTCAGTCACCCTGAAGCCCAGAGGGAGAGAAAATCACAGTTGCTTAATAGGCCTTGTTTGTAAATCTGTGACAAAATGCTAGGTCGTTCGGGCATTTTTAATACTACTGGAGAGATGAGGAAATGCTCATAAAGCAGTCACTGGCATAAACTGCTTTATGTGATCAAATTCTGCTGTCACTCTCTCAAGTAGTTTAAGTTTTTATAGTGGTCTAACAGTTAAATGTTTTTGGCATTTGATAAAACTTGCCTTGGGCTTGGGTTTTAGGGGTGGGTTTCCATCAAGGCCTAGAAGGCCAAATATTTCAAGACATGTTTAGCTATATTCTGGCCTTGTCCCTTGCAGTCGGGCCACATGATCCTTACCCTTTGTCCTGAGAGCCAGCGCCACCTGAAGCATGGGCCGGTTGATGCTTCTTGCTGAAATTGCCTGGCCAAAGATTTGTTGTATAGAGAAACCCTCAGGGAGGTGTATTCCAGAGGCTTCGGAGCGCTTCCTGCAGTTTTCTTCCATGAGTGGCACCCACTGTGGGGGGTGAATGAACGGGGCTCGTCAGTGGGCTCAGGCACTAGAGGAGCTGTGACAGTGTCCACTAAATCCACACTGCACGTTCCCTGTGACCGAGCAGGGCCACTCCTGGGAACATACCCACGGGATGTCCACATGGGCTCCCCAAAGACATGGACAAAAATGTCCTTAGCTCAACTCTTCTTAACAGTCCCGCACTGGAAATCGCCCATGCACCCTTTCCCAGCAGTGTGGAGGGAACACGAGACACTTCCACACGTCACTGCAGCCCTGGTCCCACTGTCCCTGCCTCGCTGATCGGGCTGCTATAACAAAATGACAGGACGTGAGGCTCTTAAACGACAGAAATGTGTTTTTCCCCGCAGATCTGAAGTCTGAGAAACCCAAGGTCAGGGTGGCAGCAGAGTTAGTGCCTGGTTAGGGCCAGTTTCCTTCTCTGTAGCTGGCGGCTTCTCACTTTCTTCACATGCTGGAAGGGGCCAGCTGGCTCGCTGGGGTCTCTTTTCTAGAGCTCTTCATGCTTCCCGAAAGCTTCTTATCCTAGGGCCACCACCTCAGTGAGATTTCGATATATGAATTGGGAGGGCAGGGACATTCAGATACCAGCAAGCCCCACATGGAAACTCCCCAATGCCCTCTGTAATAGGCTTGAATTATGTCCCTTCAAAACTCACGTGTCTGACCCGCTAAGCAAATGTCCCTCAAGATATGAGTGTATTTGGAGAAAAGGCCTCTAACGAGGTAACTGAGGCAAAATGAGGTCCCTGGGCTGGGTTCTAATCCAGCCTGACTCATCAGAAGAACAGGAGCCTGGGATGTGGACATCCTGTGGGTCCTGTCCCCTGAGGTCTGTGTCCTAAAGGCTTGGTCCTCAGGGTGGTGCTGTTGGGAGGTACAGACTATTCACGGGTCCTTACATCACTGGGGCATGACTTAGGGGACTGTGGGACCCTGGTCTCTTGCCCTCTCTTCTGCCTCTTGCTTTCTGACACAAGGGATTTTCTGCACTGTGCATCCTGCCATGATGCATGACCTTGCTGGTGCCCGAACCTAGACTGGAATCTCCAGATCTGTGAGTTATTTCTCCTCTTTATAAGTTAATGCCACAGATGTCTCACGCTAATAATATGAAACTGACTGATACACACACCTAAAGGGAAAGCTGAGCGTGGGTGCCACCAGAAGGCAGCCATCTGCAAGTAAAAAAGACTTCAAAGAAAACAACCCTGCCAACACCATGCTGTGGAACTTTCCAGTCTACAGAGCTGTAAGAGATTTCTGCTGAGTAAGCCATTCAGTCTGTGGTATTTCATTATGGCTGGGTGCTGTAGATTAATTGTTTGTGTCACTCTGAAAATTGCTATGCTGAAGCCTTCACCCATGGTGTGAAGGTATTTGGAGGTGGGACCTGGGGAGGTGATTAAATCAGGAACACAGAGCTCCCGTGAGTGGAACCAGAGCCCTTTAAAAAAGTCACAAGGAAGCTCGCTTTTTCTCTTTGCCTTACGCCATGTAAGGATACGAGAAGACGGCCAGTTGGAAACTCGGAAGAGAGTCCTGTCCAGATATGAACTCTGTGTGGATCTTGGATTTTCCAGCCTGCAGAACTCAGAAAAATAAATATTGGTGCGAAAGTCTCCCAGTCTATAGTATATTTATTAATGCAGAGGACATAGCCCTAGCCAATGAACATACTCGCTTAGCAGCAGAATGATCTGTGAGTTACACACATTATCGTAATAGAATCCCCTACTGAACACTTACCAGAGACTAAAAAAAGCATGGGTAAGTGGATTGAGATATATTCACACGGTGGAATACCCTGTAGCAATGAGAATAAAAGTTCCTATAGCTGCTTGCTGTCACTTTATGAATCTCACATGTGTAATGTCGAACACATGATGTCAGACACAGAAGACTTCATCTGTGCAACTCCACTTACATAAAATCCAAAAGAGGCAAGTGTGGTGTTGCCTTAGAAGTCAGGAGGGGAGTGATCTTGGATGAGTGGTGTCGACAGGACGCACAAACGAGGGCCCGTGGTGCCAGTGATGGTTCGTCTATTGATCTGGGTGCTGATGATGTAAGTATATTCAGTTTGGGGAAATTCACCTGACTGTACACTGAGTGTGCTTTTTATTTTCATAGTATACACAGATGCACAATTGAAAGGTATCATTCATTTCTAGGGTATGACTTTTCAGGACAATTCAAGCTCCAGGAGTCTGTCTCAGAAGAATTCAGTTACTCAGATGTCTTTCTCTAGCGCGTTCATTTCATGGAATAACAGAAACCGCTAACGAGCACTAAGGAGTCCACCCGGGATGCGGTGCTTTCACACTGACTACTGCAAATTGGACCTGAGATTACTGTGCTCATTGAAAATATATTGCATTTCTCTCTTCACCTCTGTTCCAAGAATATTACCAAGGTTTTTCAAATGATTGAAACTTCGAAGTGTTCCGTCCCAGTAACACAGTTTTCATGCAATACTCCCCACACTGACATCACATTCATCTGCACAGAAAAGGTAAGAGTTTGCTTTCTATCACAGTAGGTCCCAAGTTCTCTCAGAGTGATGGGATTCATAACAGTTTTTCAAAGTATAGCGCTCTTAAGTTGTGTGCCTATAAGCAGGCTCTCAATATCTTACTTACTTAGAGAGGCACTGAGAGAATTCAAGTGGTGTTAGATTCCGTTTAGTTTATCGGAAATAGGTGAAATCGCACTAACAAGAAAAACTAGTATTTATTTATCGACTGCTTCCTATGTACTAGGCACTGTGTTAAACATTTCCACATTTCAGTGCCCTGTGAAATGAGCACTGCTGTCACTCCATCTTATAGAAGGCAAAACTGAGGCTGGGAAAGTAAGGAACTTGCTGTAGTCACACAGTCTGTTAGTGGGACCTGTGATCCATTATATCTCACTGCCGGGACAGAATACCTGACAACCACATCTTACTGAAGGAGAGGTGTATTTGCTTCCCAACTCCAGGAGTTTTAGTCTATGATGGGCAGGCTCCCAGGCGGGGACGGCATGGTGGAGGGCGTAGGACAGCAAAGCTCCTTAGTTCACAGCAGCCAGAAAGGAGAGCAGGGAAACAGCGCCAGGGAGGAAGGGAACAGAGATTGAATATAACATCCAAGTTCAAGCCTGCACCTCCATGAGCTACCTAGGCACACTCAGAAGTACATTTTCCTGAGCTTCTGGGCATCTCCTAATCCAGTGCAGGTGACAACCACGATGAACAGTCACTTATGAGCATTGAGTTCACAGTCCCAATGGCTCTGTCCTACAATAGTTTTCTAGCTGCAGGGCTCCCTGGCCCAGTTCCGGAAGGGCTCGGAAACATCCCTACGGTTGGCCCAGAGAGACTGCAAATCAGCCCTAAATGCCCCGTCAGATGTCTCTTGTCCTTCTGCTTGGTCTCGTGAGTTTTGGGATATAAAGGCCATGCGGGCGAAGGGTGTGGGATAGGAAGTACTGGAGATAGTCCCCCCCATGGGTTCCTCTCACCTGGGAAAATGTGATCTCGCCTCTCATGAGGCGGGCGCTGGAACCATGCGAGCCTTCCTTCAGGAAAGTGTCACTCAGAAAGTCCCTGAAACACATGAGAAATAAGCACATCACCGATGTCCTGGTGACCCGACATGGCAGCACGCTGGGACAGGCCTGACTTCCATTCCTTGATGACTATCGGCAGAAGGTGAGCTGCCAGGGACCGGAAAATACCACAAAGGTCGAGCTGACATCTTTGTCGGCATGGAGCCATATGTGGTTCACATTCTTCAAAAGGAATCAAAGACTTTTCTCTGGCTTCAATTATGCATATATAGTCACTATTTCATCTTCATTTAATCTTCTAAGTTTTCTAAAGTTTCCTGTATTGAGTTGAAATAAATCACCCCCAAATCCTACACTGAAGTTCTAACCCTTAATATCTCATAATGTTTCTGTACTGTATTAGGAGACAGTGTATTTCAACAAGATCATGAAGTTAAATGAAGTCACCATGCTGGGCCTTAACCCCATCTGCCAGATGTCCCTATGAGAGGAAGAAATCTATACAGGAAGACAGGTGGGGACACAAGGAGAAGAAAGCCAGCTACAACCAAAGAAAAAGACCTTAGGAAAAAAACAGCCCTGACACCTTGATCTTGCAGTTTTAACTGCCAGAACAACTTTCTTATTAAAACCAACCAGTCTTCCTGCCTACAGCAGCCCTAATAAGTGAATAGACTTTGGCTCTTATAAACTGCAACTGGCCAGCTAGTTGCTATTATTTACCATTCCGGAATAAGAAAACAAATGCCTCCAACCTGGGGGCTTCATTTCTGATAGTAATCAGTACCTTCATCACACTAACCCTCCTCAGATAATGACAAGGGTGAGATCTGGGCAAAACATAAAAAGACGGACACCTCGTATTTGTGGCCATGTTGAACTTCCCAGTTTCAGCAATGGCTCTGCCATATTGTTGCATCAAAATTACCAAACAGCTTACTAAAGCTCACAACCAATTCACACTTTCAGTGTATAAACCGGTGATCTGCAGTCAGCTGAGAGTTGTGCAAACTTCACCACGTTTGAGAACATTTCCATGCCCTCCAAGATTCTTCACGTTCCTTCCCTCACAACCTCAGTATGAGGCTTACAGGCTCCCCTTGACCTCAGTTGGGCCCACAGCCTCGGTGCTTCATCTACCTCCCAGGACAAGGACCCTTGAGCCCCCAAGCTCAAGGTCTTTTTCTTTCCTCAGTTCTAGTCCCCACAGGCTTTCTACCCCTCCATAGTGTTCCACCTCTGAGCTCCCAAGCCCATTATATTATTGTGCGCCTCGTCCTCTCGCCTCACACCAGTTTACTGGACCCAATAACCCAGGGATCAGCTGCTATGATTTAGAGGTTCAATTATCTTACTTCTCCACCACCCCGTGTCAAAAACCCACCGAGGGCTAATCAGACCCTCAGCTACCTTTTGGGGAACAATGAGGAATACAACAAAGACAGATAATTTTCAAGATATAAAGTGGGGGTCGCAAGGAGGTCTGCCTCTAGTGGACAGACTCAAATAAAACTCCAGTCAGCCCGCTTTTATTAGCCGGTGAGAAATGCAGGGGGAGAGATAGCATGCACTTTATGGAAAAGCAACTAGAGAATGGGGTAGATAAGGACTGAGTTAACGAGGAACCAGATTTTCTCTACACCCAAATGCCTGTGTATGGACAACTGTCCTCAGCACATGTCTTGCCTCGGGAGTGTCAGGCTATATAGCCAGGGGGCATGCAGCCTTCTGCATACTTCCCTATTACTGGGGCAGCAAGAGAACACCAACCTGGAGACTATGAGATCTGAGTTACATAGCCTCGTCTAGTCCCCAACCAGAACCCTCAAGGTTTCCCATTGGTTACAAGCGTGTGGGAGTGCCCATCAGCACCGCTTTTAGGCTGCACTATGATGGAGTGCGCCTTCTCCACTGCCTCTTCTCCAGCTAAACTGGAACACTGAGTGTTCTTGCATACATGCTACGCCTTCCATTCCAAGCCGTTTAGCATGTCCCCTGCAACTGAAAAGTGGCCCCTCGGTTCAACTGTTCCCCATCAACTTCCCATCAGCCCGCCTGCATTTAAGCCTTTCCTGAGTCTCCCTCCCTGCACTGAATCACCCTACTGCTTGTGCACCGTCCTCATCATGAACTTTGGCTGTTTGTGCATGGCTGAGTTTTCATACCAGATGTTGAGCATGTTCAAAATGGCCAGTGTAAGGTAGGCCTTCTTGTTCACCTTCCGTATTAATAATTTCATAGTTAGTTCACAAACGTGATAGGCTATTAAGGTCAAGGTCATCTGTGCTAACTCTGCGAGTTTAGATGGCTCTACTGTGGCCTGTTTTATGTCAACTAGGAACAATGCTAATCACAGTCCCAAAGGCAGCATCTGAATGCAGCATCAAATGAATGGTATATGCCCAATGCATCATTTACATATGTGAAAGTTTTATAAATTAAAAAAAAGTATCAAAAACCTACCTGACCATCCACTTTATATGTTATCTACTCTACTCTTAAGAGAAACATGTTGGGAAAAGTTCAGGCCTAATGAAAATTAGGCCAGGTTAAGCAAGTCAGCCAAGTGTCAGAACCATGTCGTGCTTTTGTATGACTCTGGAGACCCATAGATTCCAGGAGTCCACACCTGCACACCTATGCCTTCTATAAAAGTCACAATCACCCTAACTTCCATGAGTTCACAGGTGCAAACAGACCTCATAGCTTACTCCCTTTTTGTGTCTTTTTTTAAATCAAATTTATGAGTTGAAATGAAATGAGATAATCTTATTGTTAGAAAGGATCTCTTGGAAATGAATTCTTGATTTCTTCCTCTCCTTCTGTTGGCCTTGGTATCATAAAAATTCTAGAATCTTAGAACAAATAACCTGAGTTGGGCAAGCATGGCTCAGAGGTGGCTTTCCACTTCCAAATCTAGTTTGCCGTCAAGCCCTAATGACCTGGACTGTGATCACTGCGGTTGTGGACTTTGTAGCCAGCTCGTTTATATTTCTCAATCAAGACGAATTTACTCACTTTCAACAGATTGCTATCATTCCCAGAATGGGAACGGAGGGTGGTGCAAAGTCATAATAAACTGAAGAGGGAGGATGCTAGATGGGGGATTGGGAAAAGTGAGTTCCAGAGCTACCTAGAGTTAATCCTGTGACCTGGAGCAAGTTAATCTCCTTCCTTGGCTCGGTGTCCTCATTGGCAGAAGTGAGGCTTGCTGTGCACTTGGAGCCCCTTTTTGGCATGGCATGCTTGCAGATTCTAGCCTATGATCTTTATAGAATAAAGGTTAAAAAGTCCCAATGGCCTTGGTTTAATAAAAATTCTAGAATCCTTGGATGTGGCACAACTCAGAATGCTCCTTCCTTTCACCTGTAATTTAAAACTTGCTATTTCTTGTCTTTCTGCTGCCATCTTACTCTTCTTTTTAACGTTTCAAATATATGTGTACCCCTTCTGATTGTAGGAATAATACATATCTGCAAATAAAAATGTTGGAAAATATAAAAACGTAGAAAAATAAGATCACTTACAATACCATCTGGGATTCATAGAAAATAAAAAACTTCGTAAATCTACCTGGGATTAATAATGCCAAGCATATTTTAGGACAGGTAGGTTTCTTCCGGGCATTTTTCCTTCTGGAGCCTTTTTTCTTTCCATAGTTGAAACCACGGCATGTAGCCTTCTGATTTGTTTGGCAAGTTTGTCTATATTGTAACACAGATGTTTTCTGATGTTACAGAATCCTATCCCAAGCATCGCATTATCAGCAGACGCTCCCCCGTTTCCGTTTCCCGGTTAGTAGGTTGTTACTAGGATAAGGACACTTGTAACACAGGCCTTTGGAGAGAACGCTCTCCACTTCGAAATCCCAGCGAAAGTTGTAAGATACTTTCAAAGGGAGAGAATTAAACGGCAGCAGCTAATTCCACTACCTTTGGGAAGCTTTCAACGTAAGGTGCAATTCCGAGTCTTTACAAGGTTTAATTACTTACTATTTAGAAAGACAATGGGTCCACTTAAAAACACTGGTATTTTAGGACCAGTAATTATTTCAACCTGTCGCAGGGCGCAGGCTCTAAAACAATCTTCACCCAGGGCTTTCAGAAAGGCAACTCCGGGACAGCGCGGAGCTGCTCCCGCAGTGGGTCCCCTTACCTGGGCAGGGCCAGGGCTTCCTCCGCGCGGCTAAGGGCGCCCGCGACCGAGGGCACAGCCAGCACCCCATCAAGGTCGAACACGGCCACACGCAGAGCCATGGCTAACGGGGCTGCAGCCTCGACCAGCGGCAGAAGCGGAAGGCCCAACGTGGGTCCGGACGGCGCCACTACCACCGGAACTAGGGACTGCAGCCCGCCTGGCTGGACCCGGCCAGGCCACGCCCCCAAAGAGTAGCCCCGCCCCCAGACCATTTCTTAGCCCCGCCCGATCTTCCGGCTCTGAGTGGCTTCCCGGCCCAGCCCCTGCAAGCCCTCCTGGGGTCACCTCCTCCCTGGCGGCTGACTCCTCACCTACAATCTTGCCTCTGCATAGATCTCCTGCCATGGGGTCAAGTGAAAGTCCCAAGTCTCCCTTATTGTCCTTTGCTCAGCAGCGAACTTTGTTGACTTTGAAACACTCTTGGGTAAGAATGGGGCCAGGCCGTATGGGCCTTTTTGACTCTGTGTGTGTGTGTGTGTGTGTGTGTGTGTGTGTGTGTGTGTGTGTGTACCTGTGTCCCCATGCTTTCTCAGTCCCTGTATGCAACCGAGTGGGCGTGTCCAGCAAATGCAGGGCTTTCCAGGAGGTCTTTTTCGAACTGCTTCTCCGCACAAGCTCTTCTGTGTCAACAAAAAATGTGTTTCTAAAAGAAAACAGAATGTTACAGCCATTGTGTGCCAACTCAGAGAACTTCAGTCTCTTGAGAATTGGAAGAAATAAATGGCTCTATTTACTCTTTCTGTGTTCTACTTGAAATAATGCCTAAGAATGGGTGAGACTTGTTTTTAATTACGGATTTCCACACTACTGAATTATTTATGTTTCTGGAAACGCCAAAACTTCATCCCTTTGGGAGTCTGTGCGCTGTGTTTGTGGAGGGGTGGCTAAGACCTGGGTGCCTTTGCAATGCTGCTTCAGGAATTAAAAACACGCTTTTGTCATGGGGTTCTCACTTGCCAAGTGTAGGGCTGAGGACACAGCCAACAGCTTCCCTCTTGAATGTGATCTGAATGAATCCAAGATCTTACTACTGAGACTCAAACCTGCTGTGAGAGTGCCAGTGCCTTAGTGAAACTAGGAGTTCTGCAGCCTTCTTTGGATCTTTTTAATAAATTTTATTTTATTTTATCCAGTTTACCCCTCTCAAGCCTTCTTTGGATCTTGCAGTCACCAGTCAGATCAGCAAGAGCTTGAGCTTGCTGAGCTTGCTTTGTGTTGCTTTGTTCTCAGTGAGCCATGAAGATGGATTTTCCTGTCCCTTCATACATGACCTCACCCTCCATTCTGTCTGGGACAGTGAGGGGGGTGGTTCCTGAGAGTCATATGAAGAAGCAGGAAGCGATCAACAATGCCAAATGTTGCAGCAAGAGCTGAAAAAGGAAAATCCTTTAAATTTTGGTCTTGGAAGACACTGGGGCCTGTTTGGGAGCATAACAAGTAGAATTTTGGAGGTAGAAGCTAAATTAATGGGCTTCATGACTAAAAGAAGAGAGTATAGTAAAATTATCTCTCAAAAAGTTGATAATCTCAAAGATAAAATTGAGTTTTAGAGGGAAAAAATGCAAATTGCAGCCAGGCCTATATGATATGCAACCTCTTAAATTAAATCCCTAACTTTCTTTAGGCTCCACACTTGCATAGCCAACTACTTCCTCAGTACCTCTCCTGAGTATCTAATCGACATCTAGAATTGATCATGACTAAAGCAAAATTTTTGTTCCCTTTCCACATTCAACATCTCCTACCAGGATGTTCCCCATTGCCATTGACTCAATTACTGACCAAAGACTTTATAGTTGCTTCCTAATCCTTAGCTCTCTTCTAGATCATTGGACTCAGGCCCTAGGAGGGGGTGCTCAGCTAACTCAGGCAGCTTCTGGTTCACTGATGTTGTGTTTCCTTTCTTTTCTTCTTGGCAGTACTTGCAATTGAACCGAGGGCCTCTGCACTGAACTACATTCCTATCGCATTTTTATTTTTAAGACAAGGTCTTGCTAAGTTGTCTAGAATGGGCTCAAATTTGTATTGCTCCACCTAACCCTCCCAAGGGATTATAGATGTGCAGCACCATACCCCATTGGTATTTTGTTTCTCTAATGCCCAGCCTGGGGCTGACTCCTCCATTCCTTTCAAAGATTTTGTAGACCCCCCAATATGCCATGTTTAATCCTTTTCTTCTCTTTCATTTTAAAATAGCTGATGAGGTAAGGGGAAACAAATGAGAATCAAGACTTGTCATGTAGAGGTACAAGATCCCAACAATGAATGTAACTGTACTGTATCCCTAAAATGTACCAATAAATTCAATTAAAGCTGAAAAAAAAATAAAATAACTGATTTCTGAAATAGTGACTTCTGGCGGCTGTATCTGAATTCTGCCTAGCAGAGTATTATTTATGAATATGCAACAGGGACCATGCCACATAGGTAATTAAAGCAAGATGAAGCTTGCATGGCCTTGACAGTTTGGGTCAGATCCTGCTCAACTCTGAGTGTAAATATGTGAATCACGTAAAGGGGTGTCTAACACAAGCTTTATTTGCCTTGGGTTTAACTGGCCATTCTCATCCCACTTTGAGACTGTGGATACCCAGAGAAGAGTAACTAAAGTAGTTTTCAGGAACATCCAATTGCCAACTTATAACACCCAGTTCCAAGTCCCCAGGAGTAATGCCTAGAGTCTCCAGTCATTGCTCTAATCCTGCAGCCACCTTGGATTCCAAGAACAGCAGATCCCCGCAGAGACCATCCCATGATGAGGTCACCCCCACAGGCAGAAGCAATTACCCCATGTTATGCTTTATTTCTAGATGTCCCCTGAAAGCCGTATGCCCTTATAGGTGGGTCTTTGGATTAGTCCACGGATACGTTTATAGCTAAATATGTTCTTAGGAGGAGGTGGGTTACTGGGAGTGAGGCCTGGAAGTGTCCCTCTCCTGACTCCTCCCTTGATCTCTGTTTCTTGCTACCATGCTATGGACTGTTTTGCCTCTGTCATACTACTCTGCCTTGGAGCCAGCTGACTACAGGCTGAAATCTCTACATAAATTACTGTGAGCCAAAATACACCTTTCCTCTTTGGAGCTGTGGGCGCCGAGTATTGTGTCCCAGTGACCAGAAAGTGACTAAGACACTGCACAATGGGAACTAGGCTGCCCTCCAAAGCAGGAGGTGTCCTGTCTGTATGGGACCCACATCACCCCAAAAGAGTTAAGACAGCTCCCCCCGAACCTGGCAGGACCAGTCCTGATAGCATTAACCAAACCAAGACTTGGCTCAGGTACTTAAACTACTAGCTGGGCAACCCCCAGCTATGCCAACTATCAACCTTCGCCTTTGTTCCTATACGAATCTCACAGCTTCTCTCAGCCCCTGGTAGACAGTTCTTGGCTCTGGTGATCTGTCCTCCCCTGAGTGGCCAGACTGATTATAGCTCCTTCCCTGCTGGACAGGAGGCCAAGACTGCTCTGTTGGGATACCCGGAGTAGAGGCTTTTGCCCCTCAAACTCCATTAACAAATATATTATTAGTTTTGTAAAAGTAGCAAAGCAAGAGGAAGAACATGTGCATAGAACTGAGCTTCATAAATCCCTTTTTTGGAAAGAAAAGTAAGAAACTTAGAAATACAAAATTCCTCTTGCAGATGGGAATCATGTTTGGTTAGAAGCTGTTATGTTAGCACATGGACCTTTGGTTTATTCAGGAGCAGTTAATAAATAGCTCTGGTTTGAAATCGTTCGTAGCACCTTGTTAGTGGCAGCTCTTAACTGCTTAGGCACAAGCTAAGGGTCTCAATTGTATCTCACTGCACTCTGCCCTTTGTCGTGGGTCTCACCGTGAGTCCCCTTTCCCCTATTTTCTTCTCGCCAAGGTACAGGGAGATAAGGGCTTACTCAGCTCAGCTATCAGAACTGTTTATCTTTTTGAAATATGAATCCTAATCCCCACATGTGCTAATCGTAATATGTATGAAATATAGTTTAGGTGACAGCACACGATCACAAAACAAGACTAATAATCATAGCATGGCTAAGTGAAAGTTCATAAATGACACCTGGTGTCAGTGACTAAATTCCTAACAAATTTGCAGTGAGTCCCCTGGGTTTCAGTTTGGCTTTTCTACCACCCCTATATTCATCCAGGACTTGGCTTCCCAGCACTATTTTGAAAATTGTTTAACTCTTCAGGGTGGCGAGTGGAGTTTGCACTGCTGCCTCTCCCTACTGTAGGTGCCTGAATCAAGCTCAAATTATAATTGCCGCTCAAAGTTTTCTAAACTCACTTCCACCTGAGTCTTTTCTTAGTGTGTTAAGTGAATTTCTTTAACTCCTTCAATAAATATGTATGAAGCACTCGCTATGGGCCAGGCACTGTTCTAGACCCTTCAGTTTCATCAGTAAAAACAGAGGGCAGAAATAGAAACCACCCAGGAGCTTTTATTTTCATGGAATTATGAATTCAAATAATTGCTTGTTGCTTCTGGGGCAATGAGAAGAATGAGACCGAAAAGATTTTGTGGACTATTTTGTTATTTTTCTTGATGTTTTTTTTCAGCCATCCAACACCCTTTAAACAGCTTCTTTCTTCTTCAGTACTTCGTATATTTTGAGTTCTGCCTGCTTGTGGGAGAATCTGCAAACGTCTCCTTTCCCCGGCTTCCTTAGTGCTGATTGTGTGACACGGGGTCTGCCCGTCGGGTGTACTTGCCTGCAATTTGGGCACGGGAATGAGCAGCCCAAGGCGATAGCTGTGGCAGCTGGAACTTTCTCCTGGCAGTGGCAGGAGCAGCAGCACCTACCTTCCCTTTGGAGGCTGAGATGGGACTTCTGCAGCCTAGCTGTCGGTCGACAAGGTGCCAATGGGGTGGCCCTGTGGTGGCCTTGCGATAGCTGTACCGTGGCCAGATCCGTGTCATGGTGTTGTTAGTGGCTGCAGAGTTTCCAAGCCTGCTTTTTGTATCCTCCATGAGATTCTGTGAGTTTTTAATGTCCTACAATCATCTCCTTTCTGCTTATGTAACCAAAAGGAAGTTTTTGTGGTGGTAAACAAGAACTCTGTAAGGCAGACCCATCTTAGATTAAAACCCATGAATCTTGGTAGAAGATAGAGCCACTTTAGCTCTAGAACCCTCAGTGCCATGTGTTCTGAGCCTGCCTCAAATCCAGGGCAATGGGCTATGAGCCGGCTGGCT